GCAGTAAATAATGAGAAGATTGCATCTTTAGAACTGAAATGAAGAGAATTAAAAGCATGCTATGATTATATTAATGAAGGACTTAAAATTCGTTCTAGAGCATCGTACTATGAAAGAGGAGAAACAAATACTAATTACTTTACCCAATTAATGGAATCAAATAAGAGAAAAACAGTAATCAGAAAATTAATGATAAATGAAGAGAAAATAAGTTTTGATCAGAGAGATTAATTAAAGAAATACACAATTTGTATAGCAAACTATATGCGCATTCCACGGTAAATTCCAATTCTAGTGATGCTTTTTTCACAGATCTACCCAAACTAAATCCTCATTCTAAGGATATTTGTAAAGCGAAAGTTACAGAGAGGGAATGTATGGCAGTTTTGAAAGAAATGACATTTAACAAAACACCAGGTAACGATGGTTTAAGTGTTGAATTTTATTCATTATTTTGGCCGGTAATAGGAGACGTAGTGGTCGGTGCTTTGAATGAATCCTTTTGTGAGGGGGGAACTCTCCCAATCACAAAACAGGCAGTAATTACTTTAATTCATAAAGAAGGCAAAGATCTGTTACAAATTAAAAACTACAGACCCATTTCCTTACTTAATGTGGACTACAAGATTTTACCAAAGTTCTTTCAACAAGAATTAAAAAAGTATTACCAGAAGTTATTTGGATTGATCAGGTGGGATATCTAAAGGGCAGAAATATAGGTGAAGCTATTCGGTTAATTGACGACATGATCTTTCATACAACTCAAAATAAAATACCTGCTCATTTATTAGCGATAGATTTTGAAAAAGCGTTTGACTCGGTTTCACACATGTTTTTACAAAAGGTCTTAGTAGCCTTTGGTTTTGGACCGATATTTTGTAAATGGGTGAAAATAATTTATAATAAGGCTCAAAGTCGTGTTTTCAATGGACACGTATCAACTGGATATTTTTCTATTCAGAAAGGTGTAAGACAAGGTGATCCTTTGTCTGCCTATTTATTTTTACTTTGCATTGAGATTCTTGCTCGCGCAATCCGCAACGACTCGGCTATTCATGGGATTCCATTTGATGATATTCACGTTAAACAAATTCTTTATGCAGATGACATGTCGTTGTTTGTTCAAGATATTGAATCTTTTAATAGACTAAACTCATTGTTTACTAGTTTTGTAGATATGTCTGGATTGAAGATGAATAGAAACAAAACCTTTGTATTATTGTTGGATCCTAACGCGGATAAAGATGTAATAGATCCATTTGGTAAGATAGTAAACATTGTAAAGATATTAGGTATACAGTTTACGTTAGACGTGGAAAGCCAGGAAAAAAATAATTACAAAGAAATCTTAAGTAAAATTAAAAAGCTGCTTATGTGGTGGAAACAAAGAGATTTGACTTTGATGGGGAAAATTCAACTAATTAAGACTTTTGTTCTATCAAAATTAATATATGTATCAACACTCATACCTGTACCGCCTTGGGCATTCCGTGAAATTGAAGTGTTAATATTTTATTTTTTATGGAATGGAAAAGATCAAATCAAACGGAGTACTATGTTTTTAGATTACGATAAGGGAGGTCTTAAATTGACAGATTTGCAATTATTTATTCGAACACAAAGAATCATGTGGATGAAAAGACTTATAACAGGAGACTCAAATATGATTTGGAAACGTTATTTTAAATACCTGACTAGAAAATATGGCGGCCTCTTGATATTTTTCAGTAATGTATCGCCAGAATTACTTGCACTGTCATTACCAGATTTTTACCGTAGCATGCTTGAGGCTTGGCTGGGTACAAAAGCCTTTTTGCTTAAGAACGAAATTTCAAAAAGAAATCAAATTATTTACAATAATAGATGCATCCGCATTCAGGGGCAAATATATTTCCATGAAGACTTATTTCTAAAAAATGTTTTTAAAATACATCATATTGTTGATAAGAAAGGTGAATTGAAATCTATGACAGAATTTAAGATAATGGGTTTAAACAACATTGAAATAAATATAATAAAACAGTTATATGAAGGCATTCCATTCTCATGGAAAACTCTTTTGAATATATCTGAACATTCTTGTGAGGATACTGAATTAAGTTTAGAATTCACTATTAACGGAAACCCTCACTTTTTGCAAGGCAAAACATCAAAATATATCTATAGTACCTTGTTAAAAATGAGAACGGAAAAATCTTATGCTACATGCAACTTAGAACGTACATATAATATGGTCGAAAATGACACGAGAACAATTTTCTTAAGACCCCGAAGATCCACTCTGGACAGAAAGCTGAGGGAATTTCAATATAAATGTTTTATCATTTAATTTATACAAATAAGCATCTATACACTTTCAAACATGCAGTGAGCAATCTTTGCTCCTTTTGCAATAAACACGAAGAAACCTATGAGCATCTGTTTTTACCTGTGAAAAGGTAGCAAATATTTGAAAGTACTGCGGTGACCTCTTTGCTTTATCAGCGTTAACAAATCTACACTGGCAAGAAATTCATATCGGGATAAAAAGATCCAATGCGGGAGAAGAACAACTGTTAAATCACATTATTCTTTTAACAAAACATATGGTTTTTAAATATAGTTCAACTAAAAATAGACCCCCAATTCCTCAAGAAATTAAAAAAAAGAATTATAGAAAATAAGCAAGAAGAAAAGGAATTAGCGGGGGAGAGGGGCACTTTAACACTTCCACAGTTGAGGACGGCGAGACAAATACTTCTTTCTCAGACTCAGATATTTTTTTTTTTAAATTGGTCTTAAAGGCCCGGTCACACAGAGGGGACGCACGGGGGACGCACGGCCAGCTCATTGGAAATTTGCAATTTGGGCCAGTGCGTTGTCGTTCGCTAGGCGTGCGTCATCATTCGTTACTCGTTCGTCGAGCGCGCTGGACCAACGCTGGACAAGCGCTATGCATTCGTCGTCATTCGCTGTGTGCGTCGGTTTTTTTTTTAGCATGCTCAAAAGTGTGCGCGGAGCTCGACGCATGAATGTACACGCCAAAGGCACGCCAGACATGCGTGGAGCGCGCTAGACCAGCGCCAGACATACGCGAGCACACGCCCTGTATACGCACAGCGCGCTAGCTACACGCTGTGCATTTTTTTTTAAAGCTCGCTAGCTTTTCCAAAATCATGACAAAAGTTAGGCACACGACCTTTTCCGATTTCCAATGCGCGGGCCGTGCGTCGTAGAACGCAGTGCATGCGTGGACCATTCGTCCAGCGTGCTAGCAACACGCTGTGCATTCGTGGAAGTTGTTATCATGTGCGCTCTGTGTACGGTATGTATGCGCTCAGCGCGCTAGCAACACGCAATGCATTTGATGTCAGCTCGCTGTAGCTTCGACAAAAGTTGGGCGCACGACAACGCACTGGCCAAAATTGCAAATTTCCCATGCGCTGGCCGTGCGTTCCCCATGCGTCCTCTCTGTGTGACCGGGCCTTTAGGAAAAGGAAGAGACGGGATTTCCAACAAACGCGTAGATGTGAATGCTCGGGAAGGGAGGGGGGTTTTGTTGAGCTTTGAAAAAAAATTAAGGAAAGGTCAAAGCTTCAGCGCTTCGCGCGAGAGGGGAAAACTGAATTCAGAGAAATAGGGCTTATTAAGAGTCAAAAACGGTACAACGATTCGTCTGCTTTCTCTAGTAATTTAAGGAAATGTCTAAGCTTTTCGCGCTTCGCGCGGGAAAGGGGAAACTAAATTTAGACAAGGATTAAGAGTCGAAAACGGTACAACGAATCGTCTGCTTTCTCTAATAATTCAAGGAAACGTCAAAGCTTCCGCGTATCGCGCATCGATGCCGTTCCCTATAATAAATTAAATCACATATAGGAGTAGTTTTCTTATTCATCGAACGAGCATTCCAATGACTGACGCATATTCTTTGGACTGTCGCAAGGGCTAAGGCTATGTCTTGGCTTGAAGTAACAGCATTTGTCTTAGCATTTTTATGGAATGGCTGTTTAAAGGGAACCTAAACCACGGGATTAATGCTTTCACTATTCTTCCCGTCACTTTATCGCACAGTTATGAATGTTCATGTATTAAAAGTAAAAGTAGCATCTTACTCCAGATGATTCAAACAATCATTTCATGTCTATATGTGCTTTTCATTGTGGGTTTGGGGGATTTTTTTAAAAAGAGCAAATCTCCCATTGAGTTTCAACATATGTTAGGTCTCGATCAAAGCGGCAGATCACATTATTCGTCTTCTCGACGATTTCAATGTCTAGTTCAAATTGAAGTTCTGCTTTACAAAAAAAGAAGTCCGTTGAAGAATGAGGACGTCGCGAAACAACAGCAAATCAAATAAAGTGAATGTGAATGTTCAAACTTTAATTCAGGTCCTCGTGGTCCATTTCATACCTGGGAGTGCAAATCAGATTTAAGTTAATATAACAAGCAACACCACCACCTGATGATTTATTAAATTTGTTTTGTTTTGTTAAACAACATATCTTTTATGTGGTAGGTGTGTCTACACAGTCATCAGAGTTGAAAGGCAATTCTTTAAGTAGACAAGTCCGACATATCCAATCAGCATCTGACTGAAAATTGTTATATACTGTTTAAGAAAATTTTATATATTATACAGGGATACTTCTTACCCACGATAACAATCTGCTTCGCTCTTCACAAAGAGGAAACTTGGAGAGTTTCAACGTCATTATCACAGCGGATTGTTACTTTCTTGTCGTCATTCGTGAGACTCGTAATTCTGTCATCTGATGTCCATTTTGTTTCCGTGTTTTGTACAGAATACATGATTTTCCCGGTAAAATCATTTATGGATAATATAAAGTAACCTTTTCGAGAGAGGCTCCCAAATTTTTCAGTGCTAGTTGAAGGAGCTTATATATCAATCTTCAGTTGACGAACCTTTCATAATCATGTATGGATGCAAAAGTCTTTTTTTTTTCTTACATTAATTTTTCCCCTTCTTCTCTCTCTTGTCTTTAATTTTTTAACAGATAATTCAGCTACATATCTGCAGGAAGACGAATCACATTTCATAAACATGCCTTTCACCAGCACTAGCCGATTGTACAATGCATTCTTGCTACAGACACATTCAACGTATGGTTTTCGAATCGTGTTCCAATATTTGTATCTCGAGTATGATGGTGATGAAGTCCAAATAGGGACAGGTAACGATCCGTCTGACATACAGTCTGTCATCAAAACTATCCATGGATCTACACAATACGCTCCTGATGATCTCTATGTAGGTACTAATGAGATGTGGTTTACTATCATAGCAACAAAGAGTTTTACTAGGGTTAGAATCGACGTTGAGATCATCGCCATTGACCTATCAAGTAAGTGTGTGATTAGTCTCGATTTGTCTTCTAATGATAATAATAACTAGTATTTAGTACCCTGTCCACAGTACACTAAATCAAAGCTTTTAAACAAAATGATCATACATTTACTGAATGTCATCAGAAAAGGTACATACACAATGTTCAAAAGGGATATGGATAAGAAAAGGGCTTAACTTAACTATTTAGGGAAGAGGTATGTTTTTGAGAGTTTGTTTAATAGGTCTGTGTAATTTTCTGCTTTAATGAAAGAGGGGTTATTTTCCATTCTTTGAATGCAGTTACAGTAAATGTGCGATCGCCAGCTTTGCTTTGCTAGGAATGGTAAACAGAAATGATTTTTGAGAAGAGCGAAGATTAGTGCGAAATGTGTTATGAGATGTAAAGCAATCTTTGATGTATATACATTATTGGAATATACTGTTGGAAATCACTGCATCGCTCAATGTACTTCATTATCTAGTCATTCCAACAATAAGACCGACCCAGATCGACTAGGGACCGAACAAATAATTACATCGTCATGATAATCCCCAATGGCCAATGCAATTGATGGTATGGAGTCGGTTTGAAAATAATACGACAAACATAATGAACAGTTGTTCTTTTGTGTAATATTATATTTAGTTAATGTATTTCCATGTTTTTGTTTAACTTATTTTTATAGTTGATTTTATCATTACCTATTATAATTCAGTTTTGTCATGTTATTTGACTCCATTACCATACAATGCCTACAATTATCATTAATGAACTGTTTTTCTTTTGTATAAACCTATACTCAGTTAACGTATTCCCATGTTTTTTTAAAACTTATTTTGTAGTTGATTTCTATTATTATCTAAACCATGCATACATTGTGTTAAATGTTTAATAATCCGATATTGTACAGTTCTAATTGTAATCTATGTAATGTTTTAATGTGCTGTTTTTATAATCAGGGCTCTGTGGAAGACCAGGTTTTATTTTTTGTATACTGAACAGACTACCCTGAATAAAGAAGTGAAATAAATAAATAAATAAATAAATAGCATGTGACTAGACGATACACAATGTCCCCTATTGAAGCAGGGGTAAAAAAACTGAAAATTTCAAGCATTATGAGCTGTCTAAATATATTTTCTATTTTCTATCTTCTACCAGCCTTATTTGATTGTTCGAGCTCCAACATGAGCGTGTCACCGACTGTCCTGTGCGATGGGATTTACCACTGCGATCACTTCGAGGACGAATTAGCATGCAGTAAGTCAAAGCACAACTGATGATATATTCTCTATGTGCTAAACATATTTCCCCTTATTATATTTTCTAAATGCCTTCACGATTACTTTAATGCAATTATTGTTTTTATTTTTTCATTTGGTTAGCAATTGACTTGCTTATGCGTTTCTATAATTGGCAAGTCATGAAAAATTTGTAGAAATTAGGGTGTAGGAGTTCAAATTTCTATATTAATCAGAACCAAAAGAGGTTTTCCACAGGTTCGGAAGTATGGGGTGCTTTAGGAGTGTATGTCGCACAGACTTCTAATGAAAACCGTTAGTTAGTGCATGTGTTGCGCTAAATTCGGTTTGAGGACGTAAACTCGTAGTGACGTTATTTTCATTACATAATCAAATGTCCAATTTTGTAAAAAGTGAAAATGACCTTGAAAAATGTAAAGTAACGAAAAGAAAGAAAGAAAAGAGAAGAGATGAAAAACGGAGAAAAAAAGAAAAAGAGGGAGGAGAGGAAAGAAAGGAAAGAAGGGAAAAGAAAGAAAGGAAAGAAGGGAAAAGAAAGAAAAGAAAGAAAAGGAAAAAGAAGAAAAAAAGAGAAAAGGGAAAAAAAAGGGGGTAAAAGAGAGGAGAGAGGGGGAGGTAAGAGCCTGAGAGAGGAGGAGTGGGAGTAAAAGAGAGAGCGGGTTGTTGGGTGGAGTCGTCTCGTCGAGGGAGCAAGAAAGACACGGGTAAATATGTTGCTGTGTCGGGTCAGCTGTGTCGGTTTTTGCTCGATCCTCGTGTACTATATCAATGCAGAAGTTTAAAGTCGGTGAGATGTATATTGTTGGTCGGCCGACAAGTTTGTTCCCCTACGAACTGTGACTTTTTATCCGCTGTGACGACTTCGAGACTGACTACAACTACAATACTTGTATTTTCTCGAAGTTTCACTTTCCTATAATATCAGCTAAAGAAATCAGAGGTTTAACATTATCTGGGAAACTAAATTCAAACAAGGATTAAGAGTCAACAACGGTACGACGAATCGTCTTCCTTTCTGTTTATTTTGGGCTCGTTACTGTGAGCCCCCAGGATCAAAACCGTGTCGATGTGCTATCTTAGGGCCCTTTTATGAGGCATTAATCCCCATTACTGTCAGTTATGACTAAGGACGTAGGTCCCCTAGTTGATTAGCAAAGTAGCACACACATGCTTTAGCAGTCACGCAAAACAAACACTCCCGTATTGTCATTCAATAAAATCTAAGAATGTATACTATTATCTAGATCTATTAGGTATAAAACAAAATCATTCAATAAATTGGGGTAAAAAAATAATTATTCCACCATTATGACCAACAGTGTAGTATACAAATATTGACTGCTCATGAGGATGATGGTGTGAATTATATACCTCACTTAATAAATCCAGCCATCTGATTGATCGAAATTGTAGTCATGGTTTTAACCATTCCCGTAAATAAACGATAAATGCCAAACCCATGTAATAGTTCTTTAAAAAAATCCCAGCAAAATTCCAGTTACCATGGTTACCGGGAAAATAGTTCAGTCTTGGTAAAATACCCATAGGTTCACAGGTTAAAAAATGGTTTGAGCGATCGCGGATACCTTATGTGTGCGAAGAATTGGTCATGCCCATGAATTTTGATAATCATTTTTCAAAGTAAAATTTTCACAATAAAATCAGACAGTCGTTTAAACACGTAGACATTAGTAATACTTTTACTAATTCTAAGCTCAGGTTTCGTACATCTAGTCACGAAACTATATTGAAATCGCGGCTATAATGATGCAAACCCACAGATAACAATTTCAAAGTATCAAATCTCTTCGACTCGAGCTCAGCTAGCTCATCTCAGCTCAACTCACACACACTGCAGGTGGCAATGCACTGTATTGTACGCAGAAGCGTCGCTAGACCTATTTCAGTGGGGGGGGGGGGGGGGGGGGGAGGGGTGTACAGGCCAACGATCACCGACAAAACTAGCCACCAATTACCGATAAAATTAAATGTCCCAATATCTAAATTGTTTTTCCTATATGAACTATCTATAGTAATTGCGTATGCGCAAATGATCATTTTCCTCGACGACATAAATATACGAATTATTTCGTCAACTTAGTCAACATCAAAGCTATATATTCTAATGCAGGTGCGGAGCTAGGATCTTATTTTAGGGAGGGGCGGTAGTGAGCAAGCGAATCAGTTAAAGAGCGCGCGAAGCGCGCTCATTAGGGGATGTCGATGTTAGGCCTCCCGCACGAAGCGTGGAAGCTTAGACGTTTCCTTAAATTATTAGGAAAAGAAGACGATTTATTGAACCGATCTCGACTGTTAATCCTTGTCTGAAAGAAGTTTCCCCCCCCCTCCCGCACGAAGCGCGAAAGCTTTGGCGTTTCATTAAATTATTATATAATGTAGTAATTTGATGTACCGCTCTCGATGTTAATCCTTGTCTGAATTCAGTTTCTCCCCCTCCCGCGCGAAGCGCGGAAGTTTTGGCGTTTCATTAAATTATTAGAGAAAGTAGGCGATTCGTTGAACAGTGCTCGACTCTTAATCCTTGTCTGAATTCAGTTTCTCCCCCTCCCGCGCAAAGCGCGGAAGTTTTGACGTATCATTAAATTATTAGAAAAAGCAGACGATTCGGAGTCGGCCTACTGTTCTCGACTCTTAATCCGTATCTGAATTCAGTTTTCCCCGCGCGGAAGTTTTTACGTTTCATTAAATTATAAGGGGAAAGTAGACGATTCGTTGAACCGTGCTCTAGTCTTAATCCTTGTCTGAATGAAATTACCCCCTCCCGCGCAAAGCGCGGAAGTTTTGACGTTTCATTCAATTATTAGAGAAAGAAGACGATTCATTATAAGGTTTCCGACTCTTAATAAGCCCTAATTGTCTGGATTCAGTTTCCCCCTTTGGCGCGAAGCGCGGAAGCTTTGACGTTTCCTTAAATTATTAGAGAAAGCAGACGATTGGTTGTACCGTTTTCGACTCTTAATCCTTATCTGAATTCAGTTCCCCCCTTCCAGTGCGAAAAGCTTAGACGTTTGATTTAATTATTAGAGAAAGAAGACGATTCGTTGCACCGTTTTCGACTCTTATTTAAGCTCTATTTATCTGAATTCAGTTTCACCCTCTTGCGCGAAGCGCAGAAGCTTTGACGTTTCCTTAAATTATGAGAGAAAGAAGACGATTCGTTGAACCGTTCTCGACTCGTCTAAATGTAGTTTTCCTCTCCCGCGCGAAGCGCGAAAATTTTTGCGTTTCATCAAAATATAGAGAAAGGAAAACGATTCGTTGTACTGTTCTCGACTCTTAATCCTTATCTGAATTCAGTCCCCCCCCCCCCCCCCTGCGCGAATCGCGGAAGCTTAGACGTTTCCCATTAAATTATTAGAGAAAGAAAACGATTCGTTGTACCGTTCTCGACTCGTCTAAATGAAGTTTTCCTCTCCCGCGCGAAGCGCGAAAATTTTTGCGTTTCATCAAAATATAGAGAAAGGAAAACGATTCGTTGTACTGTTCTCGACTCTTAATCCTTATCTGAATTCAGTCCCCCCCCCCCTGCGCGAATCGCGGAAGCTTAGACGTTTCCCATTAAATTATTAGAGAAAGAAAACGATTCGTTGTACCGTTCTCGACTCGTCTAAATGAAGTTTTCCCCACCCGCGCGAAGCGCGAAAATTTTGGCGTTTCATCAAAAGTAGACAAAGGAAGACGATTCGTCGTACCGTTGTTGACTCTTAATCCTTGTTTGAATTAGTTTCCCCAAAAATTTTAAACCTCATGATTTCTTAAGCTGATATTATAGGAAAGGGAAACTTCGAGAAAATACAAGTATTGTAGTTGTAGTCACTCACGAAGTCGTCATAGCGGATACAAAGTCACAGTTCGTAGGGAAAAAAACTTGTCGGCCGACCGACAATATACATCTCACCGACTTCAAACTTCTGCATTTCATTTCATTTTATTTCATTTATTTTCCACTTCTCATAAAAAAAACATATAACAATTTACATTCAATATCTGATTAAATACAACAAAACAAAACAAGAAAATAACATAACAATATTAACAAAAATTTAAGCACCTACAACTTATACTTGAGACTTTGGTGGAGCCAACAGAGGCCATTGGCCTGTCAAGGGCTGGTCTCCATGAATAAATTAAAACATATATTGGTAGGTACAGAACATAATTGAGTGCACAACAAAAGGGGAACAGGCGGTCTGTGTGATGGAAAAGTATACACAAAGAATATTTGAGCATAAATAATTTAGGTGTTGTAGTAATTATTTAAAAACAACAACAACATATTTAGACATTTCAAAAGGCATTGTTTGTATTTGCCTTTGAAAGAGGCAAGCGAAGGGCTGTTTTTTTTATGTCATCAGATAATGAATTCCATAGTTGAAGTCCCAAGTGTCGGACCGTTTGTCTGGACGACTCATACTTTAACAATTGAACACGTGGTCTATTGGAATATCTGGTATTGTACGGATGCATTTCAGAGTTTAACATGAACATATTATTAAAAACCTCAGGCAGCAAGTTGTTTAAATATTTGTACATAAATAATGCAGTTTGCAATTCACAAATGTCAAACATATTTAAGACTTTAAGTTTCTTAAAAAGAGGATCACTTTGTGTTCTGGGATGAGAGTTAGTTATTGCACGTAGAGCTCTTTTTTGCAATACATATAGCTTATTTATTAAAGTATTTGAACATTTCCCCCATACTATATTACAATAAGAAATGTATGGCAAGATCAATGTGTTATATAAATTGGTTAAAATTCTCAGAGAATCAAAGGCCTAATTCTATACAATACTCCAATTGCTTGTGCTATTTTCCCCATGATTTCATCAATATGACAAGACCAAGTCAGGCTGTCATCTACAGCAATTCCAGGAAATTGTATGCAGTATACTTTATCAATCTTTTAATTATTGATGTATATATCCTCAATTTCATCATCAAGATGTCTATTTATGTTCTTAAACACCATACATTGAGTTTTTTTTTAATTGATCATAAACTTGTTTGCTGCAAACCATTGGTCATTTTTTGGAATTTCTGTACGAATAATGGCATTTAGTTCATTTATACTTTTTCCTTTTAAAAACAAAGTGGTGTCATCAGCAAATATTGTAGGGCAAATGAGTTGAGTAACATATTGAACATCATAAATGTAAAGCAGAAATAGAAGGGGGCCTAATATTGAACCTTGGGGTACACCTACAGAAATCTTGAGTAAAGACGACTTTATATCATCCAAGTAAACAAACTGACTTCTGTTATTAAAATAGCTTCTTATCCATTCTAGACATACTCCCCTTATTCCATAATATTCTATTTTTTTTTAATAATATGACATGGTTGATACTATCAAATGCTTTAGAAAAGGTCAATGAAGATACTAAAGGCAATATGTTTACTTTCAAAGGCATTATTTATATTATCAATAAATTTTAGTAACGCCAGGGCGGTAGAATGTCCTGAGCGAAACCCAAATTGTCTATTATATAAAATATTATATTTATTTATGAATGACATCAATTTAGTATAAACTAATTTTTCAAGGATTTCTGCAAAAATGGACAAAAGAGAAATAGGTCGATAATTTGAACTTAGATTCTTTTCTCCACCCTTATATATAGGCAAAACTTTTGCTAATTTTAACTTGTCGGGGAAGTGAACACTTTGTAGAGATACATATTAAATATAAGTTAAAGGCATAGCAATTATATGTATACATTTCTTGAGAACTAGATACTAGCTAACAACGGTTACCGATATTATTGCATTCATCCATTTTTTTTTTTTTTTTTTGGGGGGGGGGGGGTAAAAGAAACTTGGAATAGGTATGTGGAATCATGGCCATGAGGGAGGTTTGGAAGAAGAAAATGCTATTTTTAGTAAGAATTTATCTTACGTTACAATTTCGTAATGGACACATAGATGATCTACCTTACATTCCAATCATGCAATGCGAATTACCAATATGAACGGATGAGTGTTTATAGTGTTGAAGGTTCAAGGAGAAGAGAGGCATATCTTCAACCTGCCTAACCCATCGAAAATGCAGGCCTACTATGAGCGTTGAAATCGAAATGTAAGTCACGTATAGTGTTATGCTTACAGGTTAAGTATGGGTCCATTATAATGAACGAGATTTTAAGATTGTAGCATATCTGATGAATGTGAATTATGTTGTGTTTGCCTTCTTATTACGTCATTCCTATGTAGAAGGATATCTTTAGAAATGACATATGATAGCAGTGGCGGTCCAGGGCGCCCCACGTTCATTTTACCTTTTTTGGCGCTCAAGGGGGTGGGGGTGTGATTTCTCAAATTTTCGAGGGCCAACAACAAAATAAATTAGTGCTCACTACCCCTACGAATACAAGCGATAATTGTCCTTGAGTTAATTTCTAGAAACAAAATTGCAATCTTTTCCTATGTATTGTAACCGGGCAATGTGTACGCATGTTTCATTATTATTTTCTTGTCTCGGCAGTTGTTACGTGTAACATCCCAGCTTTTCCGGCAAACCTCACCACGGATAACACACAATGCGGAACAGAGATGAAAATAGACTACAATGCATCGTGTATGTATGAATGTCAGCCCGGATATGACATCATTGGTAACTCGTCTGTCATCTGTCAGGCTAGTGGGGCGCTGTCCGCCGATCTACCAACTTGTGAAGGCATGTCAATCTGACAATTCTTATCAAAAAACTAACACGAATAACTTGAAATATGTTTGAGCTCTAGTAACTACGGAAGCGTTAAAGTGCCATTCTACTTGACGACATGACAAGATATTTCATCTTGTCAAGTCGACTTAATATCCATATCATGTCGACATGTAAAGATATTTAACCTATTATGTCGACTTATCAACTTTTATTAGTCGACATGGCGAAATAAATTATCTTGCCAAGTCGACTTCACAAAAAGTTCATGTCGTCATGGCGACATAAGTTATCTTACCAAGTCGACTACCCAAAAAGTAATGTCGACATGGCGAAATAAATTATCTTGCCAAGTCGACTTCACAAAAAGTTCATGTCGTCATGGCGACATAAGTTATCTTACCAAGTCGACTACCCAAAAAGTAATGTCGTCATGGCGACATAAGTTATCTTGCATGCACCATCAATGGTGATCGTGAGGCGATCGAGGGACCGGGATCAGGACTAAAGTCACTAGACCTAGACTAGTCGACTGTGAATGAACTACACGTACGCGCACTGCATGAAATAGTCGTCACACTACATATCTCGCCATGACGACATATACTTTTGGGGAAGTCGACTTGGTGAGATAATTTATGTCGCTATTACGAGATGAACTTTTTTGTGAAGTCGACTTGGCAAGATAATACATGTCGCCATGACGACATGAACTTTTTGTGAAGTCGACTTGGCAAGATAATTTATTCGCCATGTCGACATTACTTTTTGGGTAGTCGACTTGGTAAGATAATATATGTCGCCATGACGACATGTATTTTTTTAGAAGTCGACTTGGTAAAATAACTTATGTCGCCATGACGACATGAACTTTTTGTGAAATCGACTTGGCAAGATAATTTATTTCGCCATGTCGACTAATAAAAGTTGATAAGTCGACATGGTAGGTTAAATATCTTTACATGTCGACATGATATGGACATTAAGTCGACTTGACAAGATGATTTATCTCGTCATGTCGTCAAGTAGAATGGCACTTTAACGCTTCCGTAGGTAACATAGTCCAGGACTGACTATGATAGTTCTAAATGGTTGTTTTTCTATTGACAGTTTGCAGCAAAAAGCTGATTACTTTTTGAAAGTTCGCTATAATTTATGGATTGACTAACCAAAATGTAATATGACTTGGACAACTTTTCTTCAGTCAGATTGTGCACTTGTATGGATCTCAATACTTAAAATGCACCTTAGCTTGTAGAGATTATGGGAAAGAAGAAGACCAAGACTCAATGGCATTACATTGGTACAAGCGAATCCCTCGAACGAAACCTAAACATTTTATTATTATTTTCTTCAACAGTTGTATCCTGCTCCATACCTGAGCTTCCACCACGTCTATCTCCTCTGACGTCACAATGCAATGCAGGACTATCCATCCATTACACAGAAAGCTGTTCATATTCATGTGATGTGGGATATAGTCTTGTTGGATCTGCATCAGTAACATGTCTGGCAAACATGTCTCTCTCTGATGTTTTGCCTTCATGTGAAGGTAAAAACTTTTTTTCTATTTGTCAAATGAGGGTAGATTTTTGTGGAAGATTTAAATTTGTATATTATTTTCTCAATGACTGATTGTTGGAGATTTCTGAAGGATTCATGGTCAAAAGCCATTTGCTGAGTTGGGTTGTTTACCCTGATATGTAAAGAGAATGCTTACACAGAAACACAACAACCTGTATAATGCCCCTGATATATACAAGTTTAGCGATATAACATATATTTTAAAGGAAGACTAATATGAAGGTAAAATCTTTCTATCAGTTTTTCAAATGAGAAATGTTCGAGAATAAAACCTGTATCAGGTTCTCCGAATGATCACTTTCCAAACAGCCGAATCTGTTATAATTATTGTGCACAACCATACATTATAAATGCTCTTCTCCTCACTCAGTAAAATTTAAACATGTATTTTTTCATCAATTAGTTTACCTGCCATTATTATTATCAACATTTATGTGCAGTTGAGACCTGTAACGTACCACAGTTGCCACCCAACCTTTCATCTTCATGCACGGAGGGACAGAATGTGGCATACAATACAACATGTGAATTTTCCTGCAACATTGGGTACGACCTTATTGGGATGTCATCTCTAGACTGCCTAGCCAACGGAACCTTCTCTGATGATATTCCAACATGTCAAAGTAAGATCATTCATTTGTCAATATAAGATTTTACAATGTAAATCTATTAAGTGATACATGTAATCATTCTGTTATGTGATGCCCAAAGTGAATTAACATGCAATAAGTGAGTTTCACGAATATGAAATGTACCGTTCTGCTTCATATTTACAGTTCTAGTCTGTCCGCTACTAGAAAATTAATCTGTTCAGGTGAAGTGTCTTCGGGGTTTGCAATCACATGGATTGCGAGGAACAATACAGATACAATATCTTGTGTAATAATGACTTAAGTGCCTTGACGGGAATAGAACCCACGACCTTCGCATCTACAGTCAAGTGCTTAAACAACTCAAAATTATAGACTTTCTCACAAAGCAACGAAAGGCAAAATCGAAAGCCTTTTGAATTGTGTGAATATCACACTTCAATGTTGGGCAATTCATACATAATTTCTACACCAATACATGCAAGAATTGGAATTGTCCTTGGGTTAATTTCTGGAAAGACTTTGCGATCGTTTCCTATGTATTGTAACCGGGCAATGTGTACGCAAGTTTCTTTATTATTTTCTTGTCTCGGCAGTTGTAACGTGTAACATCCCAGCTTTTCCGGCAAACCTAACCACGGATAACACACAATGCGGTACAGAGATGATGATAGACTACAATACATCGTGCATGTATGAATGTCAGCCCGGATATGACATCATTGGTAACTCGTCTGTCAACTGTCAGGCTAGTGGGGCGTTGTCCGCTGATCTACCAACTTGTGAAGGCATGTCAATCTGACAATTCTTATCAGAAAACTGACACGAATAACTTGAAACATTTATGAGTTCTAGTAACATAGTCCAGGACTGACTATGATAGTGCTAAATGTTTGTTTTTATATTGACAGTTTGCAGCAAAAAGCTGATTACTTTTTGAAAGTTCGCTATAATTTATGGATTGACTAACCAAAATTTAATATGACTTTGACAACTTTTCTTCAGTAAGATTGTGCATTTGCATGGATCTCAATACTTGAAATGCCCCTTAGCTTGTAGAGCTAATGGGAAAGAAGAAGACCAAGAATCAATGGCATTACATTGGTACAAGCGAATCCCTCGAACGAAACCTAAACATCTTTATTAATTTTTCTTTAACAGTTGTATCCTGCTCCATACCTGAGCTTCTAACACGTCTATCTCCTATGACGTCACAATGCAATGCAGCACTATCCATCCATTACACAGAAAGCTGTTCATATTCATGTGATGTGGGATATAGTCTTGTTGGATCTGCATCAGTAACATGTCTGGCAAACATGTCTCTCTCTGATTTTTTGCCTTCATGTGAAGGTAAAAACTTTTTTTCTATTTTTCAAATGAGGGTAGATTTTTGTGGAAGATTTAAATTTGTATATTATTTTCTCAATGACTGATTGTTGGATATTTCTGAAGGATTCGTGGTCAAAAGCCATTTGCTGAGTTGGGTTGTTTACCCTGATATGTAAAGAGAATGCTTACACAGAAACACAACAACCTGTATAATGCCCCTGATAAATACAAGTTTAGCGATATAACATATATTTTAAAGGAAGACTAATATGAAGGTAAAATCTTTCTATCAGTTTTTCAAATGAGAAATGTTCGAGAATAAAACCTGTATCAGGTTCTCCGAATGATCTCTTTCCAAACAGCCGAATCTGTTATAATTATTGTGCACAACCATACATTATAAATGCTCTTCTCCTCACTCAGTAAAATTTAAACATGTATTTTTTCATCAATTAGTTTACCTGCCATTATTATTATCAACATTTATGTGCAGTTGAGACCTGTAACGTACCACAGCTGCCACCCAACCTTTCATCGTCATGCACGGAGGGACAGAATGTTGCATACAATACAACATGTGAATTTTCCTGCAACACTGGGTACGACCTTATTGGGATGTCATCTCTAGATTGCCTTGCCAACAGAACCTTCTCTGATGATATTCCAACATGTCAAAGTAAGATCATTCATTTGTCGATATAAGATTTTACAATGTAAATCTATTAATTGATACATGTAATCATTCTGTTGTGTGATGCTCAAAGTGAATTACCATGCAATAAGTGAGTTTCACGAATATGAAATGTACCGTTCTGCTTCATATTTACAGTTGTAGTCTGTCCGCTACTAGAAAATTAATCTGTTCAGGTGAAGTGTCTTCGGGGTTTGCAATCACATGGATTGCGAGGAACAATACAGATACAATATCTTGTGTAATAATGACTTAAGTGCCTTGACGGGAATAGAATCCACGACCTTCGCATCTACAGTAAAGTGTTCGAACAACTCAAAATTATAGACTTTCACTAAAAGCAACGAGAGGCAAAATCAGTATCCTTTTGAAATGTGTGAATATCACATTTCAAAGTTATGCAATTCAAACATAATTTGTACACGAAGACAAGCGGGAATTGTCCTTGAGTTAATTTCTGGAAAAACTTTGCAATCGTTTTCTATGTATTGTAACCGGGCAATGTGTACGCATGTTTCATTATTATTTTCTTGTCTCGGCAGTTGTTACGTGTAACATCCCAGCTTTTCCGGCAAACCTCACCATGGATAACACACAATGCGGTACAGAGATGATGATAGACTACAACACATCGTGCATGTATGAATGTCAGCCCGGATATGAACTCGTTGGTAACTCGTTTGTCATCTGTCAGGCTAGTGGGGTGCTGTCCGCCGAGCTACCAACTTGTGAAGGCATGTCAATCTGACAATTCTTTTCAGAAAACTAACACGAATAACTTGAAACATTTATGAGTTCTAGTAACTTAGTCCAGGACTGACTATGATAGTGCTAAATGTTTGTTTTTATCTTGAAAGTTTGCAGCAAAAAGCTGATTACTTTTTGAAAGTTCGCTTTAATTTATGGATTGACTAACCAAAATGTAATATGACTTGGACAACTTTTCTTGAGTCAGATTGTGCATTTGCATGGATCTCAATACTTGAAATGCACCTTAGCTTGTAGAGATCATGGGAAAGAAGAAGACCAAGACTCAATGGCATTACATTGGTACAAGCGAATCCCTCGAACGAAACCTAAACATCTTTATTATCTTTTCTTTAACAGTTGTATCCTGCTACATACCCGAGCTTCTACCACGTCTATCTCCTATGACGTCACAATGCGATGCAGGACTATCCATCAATTACAGAGAAAGGTGTTCATATTCATGTGATGTGGGATATAGTCTTGTTGGATCTGCATCAGTAACATGTCTGGCAAACATGTCTCTCTCTGATTTGTTGCCTTCATGTGAAGGTAAAAAACTTTTTTTCAATTTTTCAAATGAGGGTAGAGTTTGGTTGAAGACTTAAATTTGTATTTTCTTTTCTCAATGAATAATTGTTGGAGACATCTGAAGGATTCATGGTCAAAAATCATTTGCTGAGTTGGGTTGTTTGTCCTAATATGTAAAGAGAATGCTTACACAGTAACACAACAACCTGTCTAATGCCCCTGGTAAATACAAGTTTAGCGATTTAATATATATTTTAAAGGAAGACTAATTTGTGTAACACAATTTAGGGTGGGCTTGTCTATTATGACGAATATAACTGTCTGATTTTCGAGAATAAAACCTGTATCAGGTTCTTCGAATGATCTCTTTCCAAACGGCCGATTCTGTTATAATCATTGTGCACAACCATACCTTATAAATGCTCTTCTCCTCACTCGGTAAACTTTAACCATGTATTTTTTTCATCAATTAGTTTACGTGCTATTATTGTTATCAAAATTTATGTGCAGTTGAGACCTGTAACGTACCACAGCTGCCCCCCAACCTTTCATCTTCATGCACGGAGGGACAGAATGTGGCATACGATACAACATGTTCATTTTCCTGCAACATTGGGTATGACCTTATTGGGATGTCATCTCTAAACTGCCTTGCCAACAGAACCTTCTCTGATGATATTCCACATGTCAAAGTAAGACCATTCATTTTCAATGTTAGATTTTACAATGTAGATCTATTAAGTGATACATGTAATCATTCTGTGTGTGATGCTCGAAGTTAATTCTCGTAATAAAAATAATAAAAACAATATTTATAAAGCGCAACATATCCATCTCTAGAGATGCTCAAGGCGCATACATATAATTTAAATTAATATTCAACATACTTAATATTAAAGAAATATTAAATGTTAACTTACATTAGATCACACAACTTTATGGTGCCATGGTACATACAACGTGGCATAGTGTGATTATTCGCTTTGCATGTATTGTATGGAAAGAACATTGAAATTTAACAATATGCATTGAGCATCAGGTGAGTATTAAGCCCAGTTTTGAAAGTAGAAAGAGTGTTGGTCGTCTGAATAGAGAAAGGTAACTTATTCCACAAAGAAGGAGTTGCTGATGCAAATGCTCTATCCCACCCAATTTCTTTTGGTACGTATTTCGTTAAGCCTAATATTGTGATGCGATGAACGTAAACCAGAACGAATATGAAATGTACCGTTCTGCTTCATATTTTCAGTTGTAGTTTGTCCGCTACCAGAAGTCTGTTCACGTGAAGTGTCTTCGGGGTATGCAAACACATGGATTGCGAGGAACAATACAGATAAAATATCTTGTGTAATGACTGAAGTGCCTTGCCAGGGATAGAACCCACGACCTTCGCATCTACAGTAAAGTGTTCGAACAACTCAAAATTATAGACTTTCACTAAAAGCAACGAGAGGCAAAATAAAAAGCCTTTTGAAATGTGTGAATATCACATTTCAATGTACAGTTATGCAATTCAAACATAATTTCTACACGAATACAAGCGGGAATTGTCCTTGAGTTAATTTTTGGAAAAACTTTGCAATCGTTTCCTTTGTATTGTAACCGGGCAATGTGTACGCATGTTTCATTACTATTTTCTTGTCTCGGCAGTTGTTACGTGTAACATTCCAGCTTTTCCGGCAAACCTCACCACGGATAACACACAATGCGGTACAGAGATGACGATAGACTACAACACATCGTGCATGTATGAATGTCAGCCCGGATATGACCTCCTTGGTAACTCGTCTGTCATCTGTCAGGCTAGTGGGGTGCTGTCCGCCGAGCTACCAACTTGTGAAGGCATGTCCATCTGACAATTCTTATCAGAAAATTCACACGAATAACTTGAAACATCTTTTAGTTCGTGTTACAAAGTCCAGGACTGACTGTGATAGTTCTAAATGTTAAAACAAAAATCCTGTGTGCAATGTATATGTCTCTATGTTATTGCTTGAACTTTGTGTAGGAAATCTTCAGGAAAAAACTATAATTATTTGGATTTCGTATATTCTCAAGATGATCATTTCGTATATAAACGCACCCAATGTGTTACATAATAGTTTTCTCAGCGAAATGATTACAATTTGTTGACTTATTAGATCGAGACGCTGAACATCTGTGATCTAATAAGTTATTCCAATGATTTGTATAGCAAGCCAGAGATTGACAGAGCTAGGTTCGGGTGGAGGCTTCATCGAATCGTGTTTTAGTGTCAAAGTAGTGTCAGCATGCAGACTAGCGTATGAACACATTTGCCCCTCTCGACCCAGGTGTAATGATGGCACTGTTAACATTGATGAGGCTAACCTCGTTAAAAAATTATATTATACCCGTAAACTGAATTTTCATTAATGTGTATCATATCTCCCTGTATACTTCCAGTTATTGACATATGTCAAAGGTTCACACCCTGCCCAAGGGTCTCAACCTGTAATGGGGGTATCAATAGCTACGACTGTGTGTGTAACGCTGGATACACACCCGTTAAGGATGACAGGACTCCATTTACCTGTGTGAACATCGACGAATGTGCCGGGTCACCCCAAGTGTGTGACAGTAACGCATTGTGCAACGATCTAAGTGGCAGGTACTTGTGCACCTGTATGGAGGGATTCACCGGCACCGGGACCTCTTGCACAGGTATAGTACTTACACAAAGTACTGTACTTGTGCCATAAATATTTTGGACCAGACCACTGTCATGAATGAGCTTTCAAGAGTGACAAATATGATATATTTCTGTTTCAGGAAGAAAAAATGTAGTTAGTTTTTATAGTGAAAATAAATTGATTAATATGGTGGTATCAATATTCAAAATATGCACTTTGACGCTTTATATCGTAATTTCCCATTCACATATAGTCCATTCTCTTCAGGAATAGGATATGTATTTCTTTATTAAGCCCCCCTCCAAACTAAAAATAATGAAAAATAAACAAATCAAACAAAAATAGGACTTTCAGAATTAATAGGAACTGGTAAAAGTTTGTCGATTATTTGTATGTCAGCTTAAATAAGTATCGCAGAAGAAATGTCCCCTGAATCGGGTTTCTATATATTATTGGAAATATAACAAGAGAGCGTTGACAAATTTAGTCAAGATTGTGTTGTGTATTCCCATATAAGCCGTACCCATTTCTATATGAAGTGCATGTGATCTCCACAGAGAGTGTAAATTTTGTATCATTTTGATGATTCCAGAAACTCACATACAACCTTTTCTGAATCTTTAACAAGCGATCACATGTCTTAAGTAACTCAACTTTATCTTTGAATGTCACGGTTTAACTTCACCCACAGCCACTGAACCTTGTGCTCTGTCACCTTGTCTAAATGGAGGCACTTGTACGACTAGCGACGATGGAGCATCGTATGTTTGCACGTGTGCAGAATCATACACTGATGTTCATTGTAACACTCAAATGAGGGAGGAAGGTAAGATAGATGTGGGTATGTGCGTATGTGAGTGGGTGTGTGTATATGTGTGGGTGCGTGTGCGCATGTGTATATATACATTGCGTTCCCCAGAAAAACCATACCTCAAAGCAAAGGGGAATTGTGAGAAAAACTATGATCTATATTAAAAATTGTTTATTGCTCTTCATAAAGTAGAAGTAATATGCTTCCAAATTATACTATGATTGCGATAAATCATAGCTGCTTCAATGAGCAACATTTTTTAAAATAAAAATGGCATGTCAATATCCATTCTGTTCCATAATTATATCCACATATATCAGTATATTTAACATGGTTCAACCAAACGGTAAAGGCATCCGCACGTATCTCGTTATATCTTTAATCATTTTGATGATTCCAGAAAATCACAATATAAACTTTTAAACTGTCATCATGTGCTATATCATAAATCTTTCCGAATCTTTCTCAAGCAAGCAATCAGATGGCTCCAACAGCTCCAGTTGCTAAGAAAGGCTCCAAGAAGCCTTTGGGCACGATGTCTTTGGGCATGATGGTAACCCTCTTGGCGTGGAGTACTTAGAATAATTTTCAGCCCCTGGTCATCTTCAGCTTTTATTGTAAAGAAAAAATAGTCCAAGCAAAATACATATGTATGTTTGTGTGTGTGTATTTAATGTTGTGAGCGTGTATGTGAGAGTGTGTGGGTGTATATAGAATGTTTCACATGTATGTATGTGTATGCATACTTTGATTCATATTTATATTAATATGACACCGGATTTAGTCTTGACAAATTATCGAAATGGTTCAGTGAATCAAGACCATGCACACCTCATAAATTTGTATCGCATACTTTTGAATAAACATTATTTCTCTCAAACCACATCTACTCGTCATTACGAAATATTTCATGATACATACAAAATACATTTTTTTTTAATATGAATACTTTCGAATAAACAATACTTCTCGTGAACCCTATCTACCCATCATAGGGGAATATTCTATGATACATGCAAACACTTTTAAAATCTTTATATCAAATACTTTCGATACTTTTGAATAACCAATACTTCTGTAGAATCCTATCATGGAATACTTTATGATGCATAAGAAATATAGTATTGTTTAATATATATATATATATATAATGATTAAATCACATTTTTAGGACCTCTTGCGGTTTTCACGAACCCGTTGTCTCAGATGGTAGATGTAGAGAAGCGGGTCACCTTTTCCTGTTCCATCCACAACGCGCGAAGGTACATGTGGTACAAGGACAGTGTCCCCATCTTGGGCAGTGAGAACAGGTCCCCGTTAGTTATCAGTCCAGCTCTGGCCGAGGAACAGGGATACTATTATTGCACTGCTGTCGGGGAGGACGGCAAAACTTTGACCACAAAACAAGCTTTGTTGACAGTCAATGGTTAGTTTGGAGTCTGTAGTTGGCGATTATGTTTGAAGAACCTAGTGCGATCTTTAACTCTCCTAGTCTTATCTCCTACTCATATCTTTATCATACTTGATATTTTGGACCGCACGTCCGCCGCGGCAAATGTGACCTAGGCATAACTTTAAAAAATTAATTCGATGGGGGTAATGTAACTATATTTATCTTTTATATCAAAGTCAGTGCACTTCTTTAGATGCCCCATGTGTCAATCGTTTATGTAATACTCTATGTTTAGTTTAACATGTTGCCTAATTTATATAATACACTGTAGTTAATTATTAAAAGGTTTCTATTGCTTTTTTAAAAATTCGTTATGAATTTTGTTTCACTTCCAGGTGTTGATAACTATGTAGTAATGGCGTCATTCAACAAGACTTTCAACAGCAGTCTTTTGGATAGATCTTCCTTATACTTTCAGCAGCTCTCAAAGGAATTAACCAAGTTTGTGAGTATGAATATTAGATTATCTGATCTGCTGACTTATTAACATTCTAAACAATTATCTTTTGTCTAAAATATCTGAAAATTTAATTTATCATAAATTTCGATCATCTACAAACATTTATATGTCATTTATCTAAAAAGAAATCTCCATTTATTCATTATTTCATTCAGATACAATACATATATCTATATCAAACATTTTATAGCCGTGCATTACCCCCTTACATCTCTGCTTTTTGGCTATTCACCTCTTACAGTGTACTTAACACTGTTTAGTGCATTCGTCCATACAAAATATTCCCGCAAGGAACCAAATTTGAATTCGATTCCTTTATATTCTAATCCAAGTTGCATAGATTAGGTTGGCTGGCACTCAAATGATATTCTGTGTTGCTTTCAGATCCTGACACCTCTCCAGAATAATTTTGAAGCCACCGTTGCAGTTGGAGTAAACATCTTCTCACCTGGAAGCGTGAATGCACAATTCGGTGTCTATGTATATAATGGTTCAGTACCCGATGGTGAACAACTGTCCATCATCAGTTCTACAATTACAAGCCTTGCTGAGGGGAACCCTAACTTCCTGGACCCAGCCTCTGTTCAATCATTTAGTGCAGGTGAGCTTTATCATTACGGTAAATGTTTGCTGATAACCTGATCGCCAATACTACGTCAACTCAAGGGCAATTTAAATAACCTAGCTACTGTATATTCTAAAGTAATCATGGTCGGGTTTGGTAATATATCATTGTAATTTTCGCGCATTTTTTTTTAGAGCTGATGGACAGGCTTTTTTTCTTCAAGTAAAGGCTGTTTGAATTGCCATAAGTTGATTTCTCGAAGGTAGTTGCGATCGGGTTCGATGTACATGTGTTTTCTGTAATTTCAAGCTATTTTCCTTTTGTGTATATATGAAAGTTAATGTTGCTCTATCTTTATAGCATTTAATGTAGTTGCTAGAGTCCACATTTAGAGCTGCTTATATCTTATAGCATCTGATATAAATTTATTAGATACAATTTCTACGAATCTAACAACGTTTCATTACATAAAAACTAAAAACGCTCCTTTGGTAATAACCTCCTTTATAGGTTTTTGTGCTGCCCAGTCACCATTGCTTTCAATACTTCTACTTTCTTAAATGAATTATATACCAGGGTTGGGCGGTAAATACCGAAGGCGGTAATTACCGGCGGTAAATACCGGTAAATACCGTCCGGTGAATAAGATGCGCGTCCGGTATATATGTAAAAAACGGGAAATATGATTTTAATTATCTATTTATTAATAATTTTACTTGTTTATAGCCTCATAACTGAAAATATTGTTCTGAAATAATTAGCAGCACAATACTCATAGTAGGAACACACAAACAGATTTATAAAATCCTCACTGCATACATGTACACACCCAAACAAATGGCATTTTGTTCATATGCTAATTAATAGGTATTCATGAATATGGTAATTAGCAACTGGGAACCAAAACCTTTATACAAGATACTTTTATTGTATAGTTTAAGATATTTGAATAAAATCAGTGAAAACTTGAACAAAATTCGGGCAAGAATAAGGAAGTTAACGCTTTTTGAAATGACTAGTCACTAGAGGACGATATTGAAATTGATGACATCATTTGTGGACAACTCTCCATGCCTTTTGTACATCAAATTTCATGTTTTTCCTTCTTTCTTGTGACTGAGATAATAGAATGCAAAATGATATTCTACTTCACATGTTATGAAATCCGATCAAGAACACAAATAAATAGGAAAAAAACGAAAGAATTGTGAAATTTGATGTACAAAAGGCATGGAGAGTTGTCCACAAATGATCTCATCAAATTGAATATCGCCCTCTAGTGACTAGTCATTTTAAAAAGCTTTAAGTTCCTTATTCCTTGCCCGATTTTTGTTCAATTTTTCACTGATTTTATTCAAATATCTTAAACTTTACAATAAAAGTAACTTAGTATAAAGGTTTTGGTTCCCTTTAATGAAGAACATAATATCTAGATTAGGTGTATATTTGGTATTTTTTTCCTGTATTTTTTTCCAGCATTACATAATTACAGACATAGACAAACACACGAACAAACACACACACACACACACACACACACACATAGTACACACAAGAGCAACCATACTCACCGCCATTGTTATTATGTTCAAAATTGGACAATCCCTATGAACAAGTGAGTGGAAAAATATATTTCCCGGTAGTGGTAAAAAAAAAAAGTGGTAAATACCGGTAAAAAGCGGTAAATACCGGTAAATACCGCTTATTTTCCGGCGTCCGGGAAATAAGCCTCTGAAGCGGGAAATATGCCAACCCTGTTATATACATAACGAATGGAAATAAGACGTAGGTATTACAGGTAACTACATCATAGATGATCCATTATGATAGCCACTAATAACCAAAAGGGCGTGTCTGTATTACGGGTATTTATGATTAATGCCCTTTTGTTCTGAGTAGAGTATTGTCGCTGGCAGAATATTTTGTGTTTTATTTATTTCGATTTGTCTAACAAAATTATGCATTTGGCCGCAAGGCTGTTTTTTTTAGCAAGTTCGTGCACAAAAGAAGACAATATTACCCAAACTGACATCGATAACAACTGCATAAATTATTTACAAAGAAAATAAAGAAAAATTACAAAAGAAATTGTTGTAAAGTACATACATTTTCCACCTACAATCAACATCTATTCTGATGATCTTCACAGTGACCTGTGCAGCCGGGGCCTATATGACAACATATGGCTATGTGGCCATGTTTGATAGTGGTGTCATCGGAAGCAGAGCTAACTCAACCGATACAAAATGCCCTGATTATACCGTAAATCGTAAGTCATTTTCATCAACGGATAGTTCATGTTCTTGTATCTGTTTGCCTGTGAAAGAATGGCCAAGAATGGCCAAAAAGTATCTATCGATTGTAAAAGGTTTTGGAAATAGTCTTATGTGAAAATAAAAAAAACGGTCTACTTTGGAACGAGAAAAGAAAATCAACGTGCAGTAAAACCCTCCTGCAGGGAAACTGTGGTGATTTTGTTTTCGTTGGGATTTATTCAATACAATACGTTTAACCATTTCATATTTGCTACCAGATAGTAGATCAATCTAAACATTTAACTGCAGGAATGTAAAGTTGATAACCTTCTGAACTCAAAATATGGTAATTGATTTGATATCCTTTGTTTATTTGTGTATATTTCTATTTATGTAACAGTTGCCATGTACATAGCATAAGTCGATATCGTGAACATCAACCTTTTATGTTTCCGCAGGGGATCATCGTATAGAAGCCAATTGTTCTGGTGACACTATTCGAGCTTGTGTTTGGAAACCCGTGATGAACTGTGGAAGAAACTCGACTGCTGATGAACTTCTCATGATCGTAAAAAAGGTTCGTTACGGTCTTTTCCTGTCAGGAACGTAACGTAGCTATGATTCTTTGCCAGAATAAGGTGATAGAGAAACATATTGTTCCTGCAATATCAAAAGGTGGAGGTGTTGTGGTCCAGTGGATAAGTATCTGGACTGTCAACCACAAGTTTTGGGTTCGAATCCCTGTCGTAGCCTTTAGTCCTTTGGCAAGACATGAATCTACATTTGGCACACTCCACCCACGAAACCCGGTAGGAATTAGTTCCCTGAAATGCTCGAGCGCTGTAATGGCAGCCGTGCTAAATCCAGGGTAGTAATCTAGGAGCCCCAGGAGTAGCAGTATATCAGCCCTGAGCGCTGTACAATACTTCAGTAACACTATTATTAGTAGTAAGGACAAATCGGCCAGGTATTCCCCGACATCGAAGGGGTAAAGCTTCGCATGAAATGAAAATGGAATTGACGCCTCTTGTTTTTACAGCTGTAGCGATTAACCGGACCGAACTTATATCCGCTGAATAATTCATGTGCTAAATGTTCTCTACTTTCTTTCGATACAGTAATTAAAGTAATTTGTTTCAACGCTCCAAGAGTCATGTTGTACCAGCAAAGCTAGAGCAGGACGAGCCTTTAGCGATCTGAAACATATTTCAGTTCTACGATACACCTTAAGGCGCCATGTAACGATCACTCATTAGAAGAAACCCTGATCAGATCACAAAATCCCTGCCGATTTAAAAGTCGTCGATTTGTTGATACATAAAAGAAAACAGAACCAGATTTTCATTTCATTCAATAGATATTGATCATAGTTTCATCTCAATTTTAGAAGCTTCATTGCAAGTTTCATTATAAAATGATATATTAAAAAAGTTTGTTAGCATTATAGTTGTTAATAAACTGATTGCCTCTGATTTTGGCAGGCTGAAGTCACAGCGGACAATGCAGAAATGATACTTGAAGAAGTGGCAGAAATAACGACCATGACTGAAACCATTTCTAAGGAAGGTCTGAAGATTGTGGCAGATATCCTCGAAGATATCATAGGAATAAATTCTACTGATGTGCAGGTGGGTAGGAGATCAGTCATCGCACGTGCATGACTAACATAATTTGGTTGAATGGCTTTTTTGTTTAACTCTCTGTTGAGAAAGCTGTAATGTTTCTTTAATTTCATGCTGTTTCAGGAAAACATAACAAAAATAGGCTGATGACATTACAGCTACACCTTATGCAAATAATGGATTAAGTAACGTAGCACAACAACCTAAATAACTTAGGTGGAGCAAATACAAAGGTTTTTGTTCGGACACTGTTCTAATACAGGGAATGCTAGTGTGACCAGCTGTCAACGCTAATTTGTTGATACCCGAATGGATATTTTTTCCCAATTCCACAAAATATATATATATATATATATATACAAACGTGTCAGACAATATAAGGTATAAGGTACTTACGTAGGCTTACATCGTTGTATAAAATACAGCTGTGGTGTCTGAAGCTTTTGAAAATCAATACTTGCCTGAAACCTAAAAGAAAACCGTGTTTTAAAGGTAAAGACCAGTTTTGGAAATGCCCCCCTTTCAAAAAATGAAATAGACGCTCTTATTACCAATATTGAGAAAGAATATATTTTGACAAATTTTGCCGAGAAGCCGCTACTAAATTATATATTTTTTTAATTAGTATATCTATTTGGACCTGATAGATATCGCGCACGTATCACGCACGTGTAGCGTAGTACCATATACATCTTTCTGTGTACAGTGCTTGTAACTTTACAAAGACTGGGCCAAATTTCTTATCATTTTGGTGATTCCAGAACCTTGCAGTAAACACCAATACTAATATGCTAGATAGTCAACCTTTTCTGATCGATTCCACAACGTTTCTTTCACAATGCAATAGCATGACCAGAACTGATCTTTATCTTTAATACTTCAAAGAAGGAAAGTGTGAGATTTGGAGTTTGAAAAGTTGGATTCCCTACAAATTCAGAATCACTAATTAAGGTGGATAAAAATCCAAAACAAATTCAAAATCAGAATTGTAGCAGCGGGATCGTGACAGTTATAGGACTATTAACGTCACTTTACAAGACACTAATCTGCATTCATTTGAAACTCTCCACCTAGGAGATAATTCGTACCTGCTAGGTAGCCAGTGTAACTGTTTTTGTCATTGCTCAATGTTGATGCATCCCAGGTCGAAATTCCAGTTGATACCAGTTGAAACCAGTAAGGATTTCCAACTGGTATCTACTGGTTTGAAATGGTCTCAACTGGTACCAGTTGATACCAGTTGATACAATTTGGAAACCAGAAATACCAGTCGACATCTGAGACCAGTTGATATTACCAGTTGCTTTACCAGTTGAAAACCAGTAGATGATAACCAGTTGATTTACCAGTTGAAAACCAGTTGATTTACCAGTTGAGAACCAGTAGATGATTACCAGTTGATTTACCAGTTGAAACCAGTAGATGATCACCAGTTGATGTACCACTTAAAAATCCAGTAGATGATTACCAGTTGAAAACCAGTAGATGATAACCAGTTGATTTACCAGTTGAAAAAAACTACGAATACCAGTTGATTTACAAGTTCAATGTATCTCATGCATATTCATGATTAATTTGCATGTTTTCACAGAAAATATAATTATCGTGATCTGTCAAGCAAATGTGACAATGCACATACATTTTGTGATTCATATTTTCTTAGTTAGTTATTGACAAATATATTACACATGTCTGATCATGTTTTTCATTTAATTTAAGACTTAAAAATTAGATATTGATATATGTAATTACTAACCAGGAAATAAAGTGTATAAATTTGTATATATCTATGCACGACCTAAAAATGTCAACTCACATAACGTCTTACGTCTTTCGGATGGTGACGTTAAAGGTCGGTCCCAGACGTAAATAATCATATCTGATTGATACACGTCTGTAAAAACCAAATTACACACACACACACACACACACACACACACACACACATCTGTAATCTTCTTCAAATTATCATTGGGATGGGGTAATTGCAAGATATAGTATGTGTGGTCAAGTTGCATTGGTGGCCAGATGCTAATAATGATTATTAATTATGAGTCGATTACTGGATATATCAACTGGTAAATCAACTGGTAAATCAACTGGTAATTCAACTAGAAATTCAACTGGTAATCCAACTGGTAAATCAACTAGTAAATCAACTGGTCCCAGTTAGCGTTGTTTCAAATTATTTCTATATTAAAAACCAGTTGAACCTACTGGTTTCAACTGGTACCAGTTGACTACTGGTTTTTACTGGTACCAGTTGCTTCTGGTTTCAACTGGAATTCCGACCTGGGATATGAACGGTGAAAAATGGTAGGAACACTCCCTAAGAAGTGGGGAGTGTACACATTTGTCTGTGGGCTTGAAATCCAGAAAGGGGGGGGGATACTAATATACATATATGGACTGCTTTGAGGGGCACGATTATAGAGCATGTTGTGATTTTGAAACTGCACTTTGCAGGAGGCGTAGTGTAGTCTTAAGATCACAAAGGAGCCAAAGTTTTATCCGAGACCCACAGATTCATCGGTCAATTATTGTGTATTTATATGTCGCATTAGAAAAAATAGCATTTTCCCCAAAATACCCCCTTCAAAATTTCTAATTTCCAGTATTCACTGCCCGTTCTTGCACTGTACGCGCGAATAGATTGTGTGCTCTGTCAATATATTTCGCTATTAATACTGCCCAGCATATACAAGAGAATTTAATGCCTGCAGTTCTTACTAATCAAAAGCATAGAATCATGCAGTATGCGGTACATAACACTTCGCCATGAAGCCGTTCAGACATAACTCTGTAAACCGCGGCATTCAATAATTTATGGATAAGATGCAAAACGCTTTACATGTCTGTACCATATAGCACTGAACTCTGCTAGTATGCGCGTAAGACCTTTGATGCGCGCAGTTGCTATTCATTTACGCGTTTTATAAGATGATGAAGCGGATCCTAATCAAATGATTGGTTGAGAGCGTACACGTGACCTGGTATTTATTTTGTCTAACACGTAATTTTACATATGACCGGTCATTAGTGAATACTTATATCTTCTTATAAAACAAATAATACAAATCATTTTGTTCGGGCATTAGTAAAATTACTCACACTCGGTACCTTCGAAACATTCCAAACACCAGACTGTTCCAATACCTTGTATGGGTAATTCTTACTAATGCCCTCACTGCTGTGTATTATAAAACGGGTTCAAGAATGTAGCCAATGAGAAGCGTCGAAGTGGATCACCTGTGTGTGCATTAACTTTTAGCATATGTACGGGGAATGCATTTTGGCGATAACGACCGTCAAATTATCGACTTAATACTCATATTGTAGACCCATCTTATGTAACAAATAGCACGGCTTGATTTTAGCTCGAACATTAGTGATATGCTCTGCACTTGGTTAAGTCACAGTGAGACGGACAATGAACTCTACAATTTATAGAGTCTCGATCATTATCCTAATGTGACTTAACCTGCGCACAGTGCGTATTTACTAATGCACTCGCAAAATTGTATTATTTGTATATTACAAGACGGATTCTAGAATCTAAGCACTCCGCTTGGTCAATTGACATCACGTGGGCGTGTATTAGTTTGTACCATCGTGCAAAAAAAGCTCCCATCAAAAACTGATAACACACGCTCGATACCTGCCGATATCGCTTTCGCTTAATTCAGTCAAATTTAATTTGTGCATAATTGTCAAGATCTAGATCTAGATATAGAATACTCTAGTCCTAGATCTACAGTGTAGTTAGATATAGATCTAATATCTTTCTCTTCTCTAGATCTAGACTATATCGTAAGAATGTATTGCCGACCCGTCTTATTAAACAAAATCATGTTTTGCTCGTGTGTTAGGGCAGTTCCAGTGCACTCAGTTTAGTCAGTGCGATATCGATAACGCACTGCCCTGCGGGCGCGTGCGTTATCACCTACTATGGCCCTGCGCTAACACACTCGCAACATTATTTGTATACTAATCTAAAGATAGATATAACGTTAGATTTCACACAAACGAAATAAAGTTGTCTACTCACCCAATTGTATATCTATATCTTGCAGAACTTGTCACTGTTTCCAAAAAATCCAACATAATCCAATAAGTCATCCATATAACTTTAAATTTTAAAGACTTCCAACGGGTCAAAAGTCACAATCAGCTGTTCAACAACCACGAACGCAACATATTTACACAAGCTAGGGTGCGGTTTTTGTCTACTTGTTAATCATTCGTTCGTGTCTCCTTAGATCAAGATTAATGTAATCTTGATCTTCGGAGTAGTTGCTACAACCGGCCGTGTCAGACACGTTGCCCCGGGGTGCGAGACTCTTGTAGCGTGCCCCCATTTAAAACAATTATACAATAACAGTTAACATTACATTAAATTAATGGTATGAAACTATTAAAATTACTCTCATGTTACGGGAAAAAATATTGCATATATATATTATGAATCAATGGATTTGGTCGATCCAGTTCGATGGCAATGTTAATGATCTTCCCAGTATGATGAAAGTGATACTGCACAACCTTTTCCTGGTCGAAATCTAGTTTGTTTGACACAAAATTCAAAGTTTGACTTTGAGGCGCAGACTGTTAATGTTGGTCCTGTGACTGTGAGTGTGACTTGTTGGGGGTTCTGGACTTCAAGCTCACCACTAGTCTCTGACTCTGGTCCAACTCTTAGATCTACGCGTTGAAGTTGAGGCTGAGGCTGAGCTGAAACGTCCGGCGCAGATCTAACGTTAGTTAGATGATGATGATGATGATTGTACATGATGGTCCTGTAGGTGGACCAGATCTTTGAGTCGAACCAGGTCCAGGACCAAATCTAGAACTAGGTCTAGAGCTTGGAGTAGAGAACCTTACTGTAGCTACAAAGTCTGTGACTTGGTGGCATTTCTCTGACAAGCACGAGCTTTTTGCCTTTTGTGTCCCTCTGCAACTCGAGAGTAATGTTTAAGACTGATCTTACTTTTATGTTCAGATACAGTCATGATATGCCTCGCTTCAAAACCGTGCTCATCTAATGAAGTGATAGTTGTAGCTCTAAGGCAGTGGTTCGTGTAGATTCTAGACGCGTTAGCTTCAATGCTATAAAAGGTGTTCATTTTGTTCCCCAAAGTGTGTCTGCCAACAACCTGATGATCATACCACGGCACACTTTGTTGTTCTTGTTCTACCGACCCGTATCCAGCATTGACATCTTCAGCCTTTCAGGAGCTCTTGATTTTGGCTGTTGCCAAAAATAGGAAAAGTCAGGGTTCAAATGTGAAATGTAATCACAAAACGTCTTCACGGGGCAAGTTTCATTCTTTGTATTATACATGCGACCATACTGGCTCATTCTGTCATCATCTTTGTCTCCTCAGTACAAATTTTGGTCAACTGGTTCTTTGCAAAATAAACGTACCTTCTATTATAAGAATTCGTAGCAATGCCAAAACCATCTATCTTTAGATCTTTAACATTTTCTCTGCCTCTGCTACACATATTTTAACATTAATTTTATAAATACAGCGTTCTGGAGACCTCAAGGAGTAGAACTGTCCAACGCTCGCAAAAAATAATTTTGCTTAAAGGTACTATGTCCCATTTGCAGCCCCCCCCCCCCCAAAAAAAAAGTTAAATTCCAACGGCATTTGAAAGATAATACTAATTTAGAACTTCCCTAAAAAAGGTGGGGCTTGAAAATGTCTTCAAGTGGGAAAATAACGACTATTAGTTGTCAAATCGACTTAGGAGCTATAGAGCCTATATATGTAATAGTCTTGATTTTCAGACCACTGTACCGAATGGTCATACGTTTTATGCGGCGCAAAGATGAAATCAGTTGAGTTTTGGCCATCACAAGAAGTGGGTTACTGATGTAGACAAATGCTCATGTACCCTTTACAGCTCTTTTTATGTATGTTATTACCAAAGAAGAAAAAAGCCAGTCAGTCACTCAATAGTGTTTGACAGTGAAGTCAAACGGGTTTCCTTGCATAATTTGAATATTAGGACACTGCTAACGTTTAAATTTTACAGAAAGGACATACATGACATATTCAAAATTCCTGCAAAGGTCTACAGAATGTGAGGTTGGCTGCAAAAGGGACATAGTACCTTTAAGACTTCCTTGCTTATAGACTCCTTGTGTCTTGTTACACCCTTTCCCTTTAGCTTTAAGCTTATGAAGGACTGCAACAAACGTGTCGTTCGCACGTCTAAATTCAACACTGTTTACGATGTCCATTGACTTTATTTTAAGAAAATGTTTCTGGAGGCATTAGCGTATTGTGATCATGGATCTCTTTGCCTAAAGTTCGCAATATCCTCGCCGTACCTCTGCGTAGAGTAATCGAAGTCAATCGCATAATTCTTGCTCGGAGTGTTCCTTCTCCACTTTTTCGAAGTCAAGACACTTTGCCCTGCAGTAGCAGTTGAATAGTATATTCAATGCTTGTTTTAGCACATTTTTAGTAGGTTTAGAATTCTTTTTGTCAAATAGCTGATCTAGTTCTTCATTGCTCATTAACTCGAATCGGGGCTCCAATTCGAAGTGTTGTTGTGGTACTGCGTCGCTCGCGACGTGTAAAAAGTAGAACTTAAAATTCGCGGGTCCAATTTATTTCCAATCGAGACTTTCTATCATTAATCGATCACAAACGATTGTCCGCTTTAGTCCTATGCAAATCATGTCCGTGTAATTGGTGACAAACATTCCTCAAGAGGGTGACATGCATTTATTACAAAATATATTAATTTCACCTGCTAGCGTGAATATAACCATCGGAAGTGACCGGCCAGGAAAATATAACAATTACGATCCTCGCAAGTACTGTTTCATCACGAGGTCTGGACCATCACATCTCGGTATCTGTCTTAGCTACCTAATATAAATGTATATTATTATCATAGCTATTGTTGTTGTTGTTATTATGAGTAGTGGTATTAGTGTTATTATGTAGTTGGCTTAGCATGAAATAACCAAAAACGTATCCATGACCAACAGGTGACTGAGTATGTCGTGGATATTGCAAGCAACATTGCGGATCTACCAGAAGGAGAACTAGAAATGGCTGAAGAGGCAAGTGGTGCTCCAAGCCGGGTAGTTATATCCCTTGAAGCACAACTCGCTGTAGTTGAGGTATTAAATGAAACTCTTCGGATCGTTAAGCCCAATATTGCCGCAGAGGTAAGCAACAAAAAGACATGGTTTAACTATTTCTATAGTAAAATCGTATAAGATAACGTATTCTACTTGTATATTTTTAACTTTTTATTTTGGGTTTTTACGTAAATCATTCTATTCATGCAATTATCTTCATGTATACTATATATTTCTTTCATTGCCTCAAAACATTAATTTTGTAGACCCAAATCATTTTGACAATACGTTTACCGTTAATAACAAAGCCATCGCTTTATGGAAAACATATAAGGACATCCTGCATAACGCTTTTTTTTTTTTTTTTTTTTTTTTTTTTTTTTTTTTTTACTTCATCCAAAGTATTCGTTAGAATGGAAAAGACTACGACTACGTCATTTTCCCTTCAACCTACCTATTACGCAAGCTGCTTTTTTAAAGTTATCCATTGAGTTCTTAACCAGCTCACAATATATTTATCTATACATGGACTTGACTCATACATAGAAAACTGTGTTCTGGAGGTGTCATATAACATTTTTTTTAAACACTTGACTGGAGTTGTGAAGGTCCTGGATTCGAGCCCCGGCGCGACGCCTGGTGTTCTTTGGTAATACATTTATCCACATTTGCCAATCTCATCCAGGGTTTTTAAAGGGTTATCGGTAGGAAGGAATTAATTGAATGTTGTGAGCACGAAATCGGTTCCTTAGCCATAGGCGGGGTGCGTCTTATTTTTTCGTACCACGGCGAGGCCGGATTCCTATTTTATCATGAATATTCATTAGGCAGGGTCGGGGAAAGTCTCGATTCTCTTAAATATTCATATCGAGGTGGGAATGCACGACGCGCGCTATACTCGCACAAAGTGAGAAGATTTAGTTCACGGAGAATGCATATGGGTGAGTAATTGCTTGAAATATCAGTAGATTAAGAGAATTTAGTCATTAATTTGAAAAAGCTGTAATTCGTGATCTACTGTAATTTCTTTATATTTTGAGACTGTTCTCAACAGATTTGTGGGGAAAAGGCTAGGAAAATATTTCTCTTGAAATTGCACTTTGATTTTCATCGTCGTGAAGTAGTTTGACTGCGGTTTGCCTTCATGTCACCCTTTAGAGCCCCGGGGTTCCGGCAGGCCCACGTTGGGGAATTTCGGTGCTCATCTGCATCAAGATAAAACTTTCTGATCAGGTTTTATTCCAAATTTGATCGTCATCGTGAATCTAATTCACCAATCATCCATTGAATTTAAATCTAGATTTAACGTTACACCTTAAAATAATCTATGAAGTATGATTTCTTTAATAATCCAAGAGGGTTAATTCTTGTTTATATCTTTAGTAGATGTCGACTCTGTTGGCTTTACTAGTATTACTAAGACTAAGTGCTATCCGTTCGCTCAGTTGCATCATTGGTGCGTGTCAACTTTTAGACCAAAATTGTTTGTGACCATGGATAATCAAACGGCTCCAAACCATATTTCATTTAGACGTAAACCTGGAACTTATTAATAAAAATATTCAAAAACAAACAAACTAGACCTAGGATTCATTTATTTAATGTTCAGATGTTGTGTGTGTCCAGTGTGCTTGTCAAGTTGTCATAACTTTTGTAGATCTAGACCTATATTAAAGATTTTTTCTTCTCCAAAGTGTGCAGTTCATTTGATAAATCTATTTTTTGTTGGACGTTGTATAAGAGAAGAACCCTAGGGTAGTTGACAATTATGTTTACTTATACGCAGAGGCGGCGGAGTCTTTGGGCGGAGCAACTTCCAAAGTGGGGGGGGGGGCACCAACAAAAAGGGCACTTTCTTGAAAAAAGGGCACCTTCAGAGGGAAAATATACCATTTTTTGACATTGGTATATACCCCTATTTTGTGATTACATTATCAGGGATGATTTCAATATTTGTTTCTCTTAATACAGCATTTAAGATATTGCTTAAGTATCATACTTTGCAGTTTTTGGCTTGCAGTGCGAAAAATTACATCTTATAAAGAGGAAAACCCAATCCTGATGGGGTTATATAAGCACAATCTCATAACGGAAGACTGAATAGATCTGTGATGAGTTACATAATTATAACATCTATAACGATGGGCAAGCGTAGCGAGCGAGCTTTGTGGGAAATTGCTTTTAGTCGCTTGAAATTAGGGACACGTTTAATGATGAGAGGAAAAGGGGACACTTATCGAAAGGGTTAAGACACTTATCAGAAAAGAAAAGAAGCATGTGTCAAAGTACAAAGGCTAATTATCAGAGGTGAAAATGGGGCACTTCTTACACCTAAACAAAGAGGCATGCACCAGGGATGATAAGAATATGGGCATTTGTCGACGGAAAAGAGGCACCCATCAGATTTTGATAGGGGGCATTTATAAGCAGTGAAAAGGGGCATTTATGAAAAAGGGATAGGTTCTTTATAAGAAAGGAAATAGGGTACATATCATTGATAAAAGGGTAATGAGAAGGGGAAGTGGCTCTTATTAAAAAGAAAAAGTGGCACATGTTTAAAAAAACGGGGCACTTATCAAAGACGAAAAGTGGTACCGGTAATTATGATAAGGGGTAAGGGTGCTTATAAGGAAAAAAGGCATGATATAGGAAGGAAAAGGAGGACGTGTCAAAATAAAAGGGGCATTTATAAGAGATGAAAAGAGTACTGACTAGGAGGGGAAGGGGTGCTTGTCAAAGTAAAACAAGTATCTCTCAGAAGTGAATAGGGTCATTTACAAGAGATGAAAAGGGGCACTTAAGAGAATGAAAAGGAACTATTTTCATAGATGAAAAGGGGCATTTATGAGAAGGGAAAGGGCCTATTTTTAAATGGGGGCACTTATAAGAAAAAGGGGCACTTATTAAAAATGAAAGGGAGCACATGTGAAGATATAAGGTGCGCTTATCCAAGTTAAAAGGGGTAGTTATTAAAAGGGGAAGGGGCACTTTAAAAACTTAATAGGGGCACTTGTCAGAGTAAAAGGGGCACTTTTAGGGTACTTGACCAAATGGGAAGGCACTCTGCCCCCCCCCCCCCCCTCTCGGAGCGCCGCCTCTGCTTATATGGTATGTAGTCCACCTCTTCTTGTTATAATAAACTAATTCTACTTAGTACTGCTTCGTGTTCATAGGCCATAGAAACCACTGTTTGATGCACAAGTTAAATCTTCCATTTAGTTTTACTTTGTACTGTGGTTCATTAAATAGGAATGTTGATTTCCACACCATATTAAAATTAAGGCCAACCATGACATAAAAATATCTATTAATTTGAATTATGCTAGATCTATTTTATTTTGTTAAGGAGAAAGGGATGCCTTGATTGTCGTATTGATTTTCTTCTTCTTTTTGTTCCAAAAGATTGAAACTGAAGAGCTGGAAGGAGGACATTACAACATCTCTTATATTTGCAAGATGAAGCAGAAAGTCCCATGCAGGTACAGTTATCAGGTTATTTAGCACACACATATTAAACGACCACCTATTAATTCACTCAAAAGGAAATGGAACTAAGTTGACATTGCAAGCATATATAGTGGAGGGTATATTTTATTCTAGTTCTGCACCTAGTATACAAATATTGATGTCTTTTCTTTCTATGTTTACAAAGGAAAATTTGTCCTTATTTACAGGAGGTCCTGTGTTTAGAAGAGCCATATCAAATGCACATTGTAAGCACTACATGTAGGGTATACACAGGACCCCTCATTTTTTTTTTTGTAAGGGGTACTTTCACTTCTTGAGCAATGAAGATGAAGAAGAACACAAAATAAGATTGATAAAAGTCTGTTTATAGGATGTATTATGGTTGATATGTATCCATCAGTATCAGTTTTTAATTGAAGTACATGTACCTACTTTGTTTTCTCTCATGTAGGATGATGCCTCTCTACAGTGGATGATGAAGGCATTCTGGTTTGCAAACTCAGGAGAGGAACAAAGAACAGATGTTGACGGGATCATATCTAGAGATGCGGGCCTACTACACTTCATACGAGCAAGTGTGCCAATATACATGAAGGTACCCCCAATAAATTTTTGTGGAACAAATGTCATGGAGAAAATTATAGATCTGAAACAGATATTTTTCATTGTCAGTTGACTTGTAAAAGAATAATTGACTTAATATCACAATTGTAATTTAGATTAAAAATTAAATGTCAATATAGATGAAATATAAGTCTACATTACGTATGTTTCAGTAGCATTATTTCCAGTACATTCTCTGGTCAAAGTTGTTTGGTCATTTTATGTCCCATACTTAACCGAGTATTATTCAATTACCGGTATGAGCACGAGTTGTATTACATTGTATTACTTATTTCATACCTTGTCTGATCCGAGCTCCAGCAGGCCTATCGTCTTAATGGGATCATCAGTAATAATTTAAGATGCGGTCAGTATTTAAACTAGTCTTGTACAAAAAATAGTTTAGGTTTGCCCACTAGAACCCCAAGTGAATTTCAGTCCTTCCTTTTTCTGAGCAGGTATCAGGGTGTATGTTATTAGTCATTGTTGATTTTTTTATATCTTATTTCATTTTTCCATTCAACAGACTTGGGTTATGTTTTTTTCTGAAAACTAGGCTACAACTTTAGCGATGGATGCAGAAGATATCTACACGAGACTACGTCTTAAAGATGCCACCCTCATATAATGAAAGAGGACAATAGAGATGGGTTTAAACTGGAATATTTACATGATATTCATTTGTTATTTGTATTATATGTTTGTAGAATACTACATTCAATAAAGCTAATGAAGTTTATCATCTTGTCGACTTTCAAATAATTAAAGATAACTAATCCTCAACGAATAAACATTAAAATTCTAACAATGTCAACTACCATCTTATAGGATGAAACTGAGGACTGGGCAGAAAGATTCTCCTTCAAATTTGATTGATAAAGGTCTATCAGTCTATATCAAAGATTGAATTAATCAATGATATTTTGATTATAATTATACATGTTAAAATTCATTTACCTCTATGGACTTCTGTATGGGAAGTTTTGTAGATTATGAAATTATTGCTACTTCAAGTATTGTATGTAAGAAGGTTTGAAAGACAACACTCTAAATGCATTAAATATGGAAACTGCTAATCCTCATTGCCTTTCGTATCCAAACTGGTAGCTTTCATAGAATCATGTTTCGATCCCAATAAACAGAACACCAAAAAGTAACCTCTTTTGGGAGTGTATTTTAAGTGATTTTAAAGTATAGTGCCTTTTGAACTAGATTTAAACGTTATCGACACGTGCCTTCATTTAAACAAAAAAAGGTACTCCTGTTCACGTTTTCATCTAACCTAAAAATCACCAGTTTATCACGCGACTGGAGTAACGTGATTCCACTTACCTCTGTAAATCAAGTGTTTATGACCAAATAACCACTTGACCAAGCAACGAGTTTTTTGTCAGTTAACCGATGGTGGCGATAAATACGTAATTATTTGGTCTTGTAAGCACCTTTATTGATTGGTTTCACAGGTTATCCAAGGTTGATGGTAATAATCACGTTACTTACACCGGCTAATCGTCTTATTGTTCTGTCCGTGAATCTCTGGTTATATTCAACTAGTAATTCTGAGGTGTCTTACACACCTCTTTGAAAGGTTTCAAAGTTACCATAAATTTCTTGGTTATGATCACGTGGCTCAAGCTGATTACTAATCTAAGCTGTGAAAACGTGATATGTAGGTGTGAAAATGAGTAATTATTAAGTGTTTTAAAACACCTATTTAAATGGTAGTCAAAGTTGCCAGCAGTTCCGCGGTGATGATCTCGTGACTCAAACGGAATATTAATCTAAGCAGGGCATACGTGACTTTTAGGTGTGAAAAATTAGTCATGATTAGGTGTCTTAAAACACCTATTTAAATGGTTTCAAAGTTACCATAACTTTCTTGGTGATGATCACGTAGTTAAAACTGATTACTAATCTAAGCTGTGAATCCGTGATATTTAGGTGTGAAAAATTAGTAATTATTAGATGTCTTAAAACACCTATTTAAATGGAAGTCAAAGTTGCCATAAGTTCCGCGGTGATGATCTCGTGACTCAAACGGATTATTAATCTAAGCTGGGCATACGTGACTTTTAGGTGTGAAAAATTAGTCATGATTAGGTGTCTTAAAACACCTATTTAAATCGTAGTCAAAGTTGCCAGCAGTTCCGCGGTGATGATCGCGTGACTCAAACGGATTATTAATATAAGCTGGGTATTCCGTGTTTTCGATGTGTGAAAATGAGTTATTCTTGGGTATCTTGATGGTTTCACAGTTACCATTTAAGTTCCGTGGTGATAATCCCGTGACTGTTGGCATATTTCTATTTTCACCAGTTGATAACTGACTGTTGGCATATTTTCATTGCACCAGTTGATAACTGGAGTGTGCATATTTCAAGTTGCACCAGTTGATGACTGAGCGTTGGCATATTTCGAGTTGACCCAGCTGACACCAATTCATTTGCATATTGAATATGGGGTGCGTGCAGATCTATGTTTTTTAAACAATTTATCTGAATTTACAGCATATTTCTTAATTACTGATGATTTAGTTATATGCAATTCATTTCGAAAATACTACAAATATAAATTAACAGTTATTAGGACATTTCGCTACTTCGTATAAATAGTTAAACATGAATAAGGGAAACATTAACTGTGAACTAAAATACTTTCAATAAAGTACAAGTATACGAAAATTGTTCGATTAATTCAATTATGTAAGTCTACTTATTACCAATGCCCTTACATTGGAAATACAGACGTACCAGTATTGAAGTATTGTTGCTGTTCAACTGGTTGGAAGTTTTACCAAATGGTTCTAATGGCTCAGCTAGACCAGTTGAATTATAACTGGCCTGGATCAACTGAATCATTTAGCCCATTTCAATTTCCAGGGTTACCAGTTGGCATTAAATGGTTCATCAACTGGACCAGTTGCAACTAGCTTTCTCTTCTGGGATGTTTGCACCCCCCCCCCCCCACCCACCCAACCCCCTCTAATCCCAAACTGCTTCCGGCGCGCCTGGACGTAATTATGGAAGATCCAAGACACGATGTTCAGAAACGGGATGAGAACGTCATTATTTTGGTTCATAACATTTGTAACATTTGCGTAATTATTGGGTTGAACGCGGGTTACAGTAACATACTTCCTCTTCGACGTAAATTTCACGTGAATGAAGAACATGATTCATCTCAAGTCAGCCTCGTAATATTCACGTGAATTTCACGCAGATATTTTGACTAAAACTATCACTAACGCTTCACGTGTTTCTGTGACGCGATAATTTCGTGTATGAAGATGTAATTTCATAACCAAACAAACACGGGAGTATTAGGTTTACAAACCATGGTCTCCAAGGTAGGGATAATCACGTTATTATAATGGTGATATTGCAGTGACAATTGCGTGATTTAGTGTACGTGTGTTTCAAGTTACCTAATGCAATAAACGTATTAACACATTTACGTAAATGTCCGGTGTTTGAAGAACGTAACTCTCCTCAAGTCGATACCTTGATATTGACGTGATTTTCACGTGATTTTGTTTATTGGGATGCTTCCCAACTAAAGAAAACAGGGAGTGGGGGGGGGGGGGCTTGCTATCCTCTTATCTTATCCTCTGTACAAATATGATTATATGTTTATATTAGAAGGATTTAGAAAGTGAAATTTTGAATTATAGCATTACTGTTGGTAGAAGTAATGGCAGTGTCGGGAGGGGGGGGGGGGGTTCCTGGTGAAATTTACGGTATGCCAATGTAATAATAAAAATTATACAGTACATGGGCCTCCTAACAAAAACCCTGGTACCACTGTTGTGTTTTGAGTGTGTGTTTTTTTTTTTTTGGGGGGGGGGGGGCTGGCAAACCAATTACAAATTTCCAGTGTTAAATTCAAATTTTTCTTTAACAAAATTATGTCAATATATTGTAATTAAACAATGTTTCACTTTCCTTTTTTTCAAGTTAGATATTTGAATAAAATGATTAACATACTTTCCGGTTTCTCTGGCCTCTACATTAAAAATGTTCTACTTCTAGCAAAGCTCCTGGAAAGGCTGCAAAAAGGGAGAGTGAAGAGAATGAAATTGAAATGTGGACAGTAATGGAGTGAATATGGAATGGTTGATGGTAGTTGATAACGAGTGAATGCAAATGAGTGGCAACAAGTACGACTGAAAGTGAGACAGAAAGGAATTGCAACAGGTTGCTCAGTCAAGAGAACAAACCTTGCAGAAGATAGTTTTCGAAAGACAGAGAAAGAGAGAAAAGGGGAATTATAAAAAAAAAAGGAAAAGGGGGCATGTGTCAAAGGGGCATTTATGAGAAAGGGTTGGGGTTGGGGCTCCTATTAAACAGGGAAAGGGGCACATATCAAAAGGTAAAAGGGCACTTGTTAGAAAGTTAAAGGGGACGCGTGTCAAAGTAAAAAAAATGAAAGGGCTTTTATCAGATATCACAAGGGGCACTTATGAAAATGGAACAGTGGCACTTATTATGAAGTTAAAGGGGCATTTGTTGAAGAAAAAGGGGCACCTGTCAGATTTGAATAGTGGGTAATTATCGCCAGGGCCGTAGCCAGAGTTTGGGGGGGGGGGGGGGGCAAATACATGTAATTGATCGACGTCCTTGGGAGGGGTCAAAAAGAGTTCAACCGATCTTGGATTTTTTTTTCTTCTTTTTTTTCTTCAATGTATGTGAAAGAATGTGTAGTTTTCTCTCGAGTTTGTCTCATCATGCGTGGGATCTGTGGGTGCTGGGGTTCCTGCAGCAACCCTGTACATGGATTTTCTTCAGTGGGTGCATATAACTCGTGGACTTCACATTGTAAACCTTCAAATGATGAATTATCATCGAGTCCCCCACCCCCCCTTCCCTCATTATTTTAGAAAGAAACCAAAGAGATCTTTTAAGAGAAAAAGAAAAAGGAAAGGAAAAAATGGTAGCTAGGCCTAAACAAAAACAAGAGGCAAGATAAAAGAAAACAAGATTGAAGATATGGTATCAATATTATCTTGCTCCTTTCCCTTTTTCTTTTGTCTTCTTTTCATTTCAATTTTCTTGCAATTTATTTCTTTCTTCCTTGGTATCTATTCCGTATTCTTTATTTCTTCCATTCATTTATTATTTATATATATTTTACTTTTTAACTTTGTTATTCTTCTTTCTAATCCCATTTTTCTTTCTTCCTTTTCTTCCTTATGCAGTTAAGTGAGCATAGATCATAGAAATAATTGAAGTGCAATACACAAGTATTTTATTTTTGATAAATGTCTGTATGTAGGCCTATTCTTGTTATCTATTTTATACAGTTTATAATACTGTATCACATATTCAATACCATAATGCAACCTCTGCTTGTAATATTTAAAAAGCAAACCTAGAACTGATTATTTACCAATTCATGAAAAGAACTAGACTCCCATTAATCTCAGAAAAGTAGGCCTAGGCTACTCACAAATTGCCTATCAAGACTCTTACTTGAAATATATGCTATATATCTTGTCTACCGGTACTGACATTTTGGCATTTACTAGTAATTAAACACAGCATTTATGACTGTATTATCTAAATGACCATGCCTGCCATTAATCCAACGTACTTGTTACACACGATATTCGATGCTGCGCATGCCTCGATCATACATGAATATTCAAGAGAATCGAGACTTTCCCCGGCCCTGCCTAATGAATATTCATGATAAAACAGGAATCCGGGCTCGCCGTGGTACGAAAAAATAAGACGCAGGCGGGGTAATATTTTAGCGCCTTGAGCACCTATCGCGGTGGATATGAACACTATATGTCCAATATTATATTATTATTTTGTGTGTCAGGTGTTTGATGTGACTGTGGATGAAATCAGCCGGGGTATAACCGTTGTCGTGTCAGCTACGTCCGATGGAAAAAGCATCTCAGACGAGGGTTTTCAGGTGGCAGGAGGCAATCGTACAACAGAGCCAGAGGCGCTAAAAGCAGAGGCGACCCTCTTCATTCCATCAGGGCTGACGGGCCGGGTGGTCATCACCACATATTTGAAAACGGCTCTCTTCAGGGACAGTGGACTAACGGAGTTGAATCTGAACCAGACAGGATTCATGCGAAAGTTGAATTCGAGGATCATAGCGGCGTCCATCAATAACGAAGAAATCGAAGACTTGAAGGAACCCGTGATGATTGCATTTACTCCTATCAGTCCGGTGAGTGCATTCTAGTGCTTTATCAGTGTTAATTGAAGCGCCATGAGCGTAAAATGTGACATACTTGAGCGCTATAAAATTACCCACTATTATTATTTTCATATTTCACGAGACAGTATCATGCAATAAACATTACGTAACTCTCGAACCAGATATTGTCCAGTGACATAAATGGTCTTCTTTTTTATTTGATGTTTACATATTTTTCCAAGCCCTGATAATTCTCATATTTTGTTTTCATTTCAAGAATGGGAGAAATGCCACGTGTGTATCTTATGACTTTGATGATAACCAATGGTCCACTCGAGGGTGTAAAAAAACAAGTAATGACAGCATACACAGAATTACATGCGAGTGCGATCACCTTACCAACTTCGGCATTCTCATGGTTTGTATCACGTTTGTCTGCCACGTAACGTACTGTTGCTTGGGATCTGTGTGTAGCCTCTGTGCAAAGTTATACAACAATGGCACAGGAAAGCTTAAAATCCTCATCTAACCCATTGTCTTCAATATTCATGATATCAAAGTGTTATTTTGATGAAATTTGTTTGTAAATTATGCAAAATTGATTGTTAATTACTATTTATTTGCACTGAATACCATATTAAATAAACCTCATTTATAGAATATATGAAGAATTAGAAAAGCTGGACTTAACGGCGTAAGGCATGCCCCTCCCCCGTTCCCATGTTCTGGATATATCCATTTGGTTCAAAGCACACAAAGTTGCTGTGTACATCAGGATACGACAGACAATATGCCTCAGAATAATTTCATGTTTGAAGCACCGTAGACGCCACCCAAGTTCCAAAGAACGGAATATGTTTGGAATATAAGACTGTAAACATTCAGAAATGTCCTCGCAATACCCTTTAGATAGCATTGATGCCCATGTAAGGTTCATCTTGCTTCGTTCCTTGATGATCAGCTCCTAAAACCATGGCTATTGAGTACATGTACTTGGTCTTCACATGGTTGACAAAAAGTCTCCTTCAGATATGAGGCGTTTTTTTTTATTACGTGAAATGAATTGCAACTGGACGCGACAACACGCCGTTCCTTCGCGTATTCACTGAGACTTGTGTTATTAGCTACATAAATGTAAAGTGTATTAATTGCACTTCTACGTCATCCAGAAGAAGAGGAAAAAAAAACCGCCGCAGGTCACCGCGTCATATCTGATCGAGGCATGAAGACCAAGATGAATTTTAATAGACTTGGCTGACGTCCCGTTTGAATATATATATCTTTACACTTTTACAGGACATCTATGGAGGACGGGCAGATTTCATTCTGGAGATCATAAGCTATGTTGGTTGCTGTATGTCAATATGGGGCCTTGTCATTACAATCCTCACATATGCTTTTAATAAGTGAGTATCATTTCTATATTCATGGATATTATGCATATGGGCCAGTATAAGGTATATTATCTTGTAATGTCCAGCACGTTGATTGATTGATTCGAATTCGAATGTATTCCATTTTATATATCCATTGTTTGCACAAGTTACCAAGTGATATGCAATCATAAGCACAAATAGAAGAAAAACAAATTACTTCATGTTTGGTCTCAGAAAAGCTCCAGTTGAGCAGACAATTTAATACCGTTACCAGTCTTACAAAAATCACAGAGATGCTCGGTATACGTAGGGAAAATGTACATTGGACTTACCCGTAAACGTAATTTTGATCATTAAAAACTGCTACCATATCACATTTGTTAGAAGAGCAGCTATGTACGCTAGAAAAATGTGTTGTGAGTCACGATTTTGTACATACCGGTACATAGAAAGTAAGACGGTCCGAAAATTAAAAAAATATATTTTTGTCTGTACTTGATACCCTTCAATTCGTGTCTTCTGCGTAATATGATCAACATTAATTTGAGCAAGGAAATACCATGGAATCTTTTAAAGGGTACGTCGTTCTAGGAGATCTTTGAATAATGCTCTCAAAACACTGTCCATTTAGATAATTGCCTGAGGTTCCAAGAGTTTATATTTGTGCGACACCCAGAGACAGCATTAACCATGTAAAATGTGTTAAAATGTATATAATTATTATGGTTTTGTCTTCTGTTCTAGGAAACTTCGTGATCGCAAACCCAACCAGATCCTGCTGTCCCTTTCCAGTTCCCTGCTCTGTCTCTACATCGTCTTCCTGGTCATGATATCTGTTGACACAGAACGAGGTGTGGCGGAAATTACTCCCCTGCCTTGCTGTATCCTAGCTGGTTTCCTCCACTATTTTACCCTGTCATCTCTATTCTGGATGGGAGTCGAGGGCTACAACATGCATATTCTCTTCGTTCGAGTTCTCAACACGTATCTACCGCGCTTTATGCGGAAGGCTTCACTGTTTGCATGGGGTAAGCCACCGTCCATTAATTATTTGCTTTTTTACTTGATAGATTAAATGCCATTTTGCCAAAATTTGTTACCAACATGATCGCCAAGGCTTTCCAAAAAAAATCAAGCTCAAGAACTTTCAATAGCTTTGTCCATCGCCTGTTGAAAAGTGTGTACATTACAACGACTTATTACATACTGAACTGAACAAAATTTCTAAAGGATATTCAATAGGATATGAAACTTTTCCTTGAAAGTCTTGAGGATCGTGCTCAGCAAGTAGAGTTTGATTTAAAATCTAATTTAACAAGCTGTTGATATTGGCTTTCAATATGGGCAATATGTGTTGAATAAAACATAGTATTAACTCCGACCACAAGTCTAGTTTATCCTTTGTTCCATTTAAGAATTGATTTTGACGATGATGATCATCGATCATCATCGTGATAATGACATTGATAATGATAATAATAAAGTAACCATTCCTTTTTTCCCCTTGCATTTAGGAGTCCCTATGGTGATTGTTGGAATCACTGGAGGAGCAGCGAGGCAGGCCTACGCGCGGACAGATTTGTAAGTTTTATATTTAATCCACGAATGTAACTTATAAATCAATTAGGAACATTATGAAAAAAACATTCCCGCTCCTTTTACTCTCATTTTAATTGAATGACAAAAAATGGCAAAAATGACTCGCTTAAGGAGAGAGAGAGGGAGAGAGAGGGATGGAAAGAGGAACAATTGGTATGCGGTTACTGCTATTTAAATGCTGAGATATACAAAATAGGCACATGATACTTAACTACTAGTCTAATTCATGAAAGGTTTTTGTTGCATTCATCAAAAAGAATCGTGAAGGTCAGTTTACTGCATCGGTTATTACCAAGTAAATAACAATGACATGACAACAATAACTGGTTTACATGATAATACAAATTCATTACGGTAACACAGATTTGAAATATCTGTTATGCAACATACATGTACTTTGAAAGAAGAAAAACGCAGTACAGCTACCAATGCGAAGAGAATTCCATATATCTGGGCCAGTGTGGCAAATATATTTAAGGGCTAAACAGTATTTGGATTGCACAAATGGAAATCAGTAGATTGTTTCGTAGGATAGGAGTGAATATATCTATATATATATATATATATATCTTCATTCAGTTGAAACATAGTAGAAATGTCACAGGTACCTTTTTTTAAAGGCGAAACATGGAAATGGCAGTTTGTAGAAAATTGATATCATTAACTGTCAGGGTAACTAGCATTTGAGAAAACAACTTTTAACAAATAAGTAATGGCCACATTCCACTTAATATTTGCCCATATTAAATTACAATATGAAATAAAAGGTTATATCATGGTATTGTATTTGTATAGCATTAATAATAATGACGAAGTTTAAAGAATATGCCTACATTACGTGATATTACATTACAATATATTTAACATGATCATTCCACTTCAGAGTGCCATTGATGAAAACTCCATGAAATGTAATACTTTCAGTCTTTTAAATAACCACACCATCCATAATAATTTCTGTAGCTGGTTACTCAGATTTTATATTCTGGAAATGAATAAAGTTTGTCTTTTTCAAATTTATTGATAATTTGTTGCACTCAAACCATGAAGATAATTTTGGTAATTCATTATTCATGGTATCAATAAGGGAAGGAAAGTTGGAATCAGAATAAACTACATTAGTATCATCGGCAAGTAGGATGTATTGCAACAAGTTAGATGTGTTTGAAATACATAAACACAAACCAAGAATAAACCCAGACCAAAAACAGATCCCTGCAGGACACCACATGAGATTGGTAATAAATTAGATTCGACATATTTACACTATACATATTGCTGTATGGGTTTTAAATAATCATTAAACCATTGGAGAGGTAATCCTCTTACACAATAGTTATGAAGTTTACAAGGATGTCAAATAACTTGCTAATTAGATCCATAAAGGCTCCTAATACATAATTATGATTAGCCAAGGCATTTGCCACTCTGTCGTACAAATGTGCGAAAGCAAGATCGGTGGAATGGAATTTCCTGAAGCAAAATTGATTTTCGTTAAATAAATTATTTTGTAGTTGAAAACTAGACAGTTTCTTATACACCAGCCTTTCTAAAATCTTCGAGAAACTCGCAAGAATCGATACTGGACGATAGTTTGACACTAATGACATATCATGACGGATCATCTTTTCTATATATTGGTAAAACCTTGGCTACTTCAAATGACTTCCCGCTATAGAGTACGGTAGATTTATTATTTTCTGTTAATACCCTCACTAAATATACTGAACGCAATTTCTTAAAGCATAATATGATGTCAATTGCTATCATGTTAACATGGCTCCAAATATTTGACACGTTAAATGTGTTATGCATCCCTTCCCCAAAAAAACTTCGTTTGTTGTTTGAAGTCTAACCTACTCATTTCTTAAATGGCTGAATGTTTGGAGGATTTAAATTAATATCTTCCTTTTTGCAGTCCTAAGACTGATCTCCAATGGCTAGAATATGATGTACATGATTAAAAAAAAATACAGATTCAACATTCAAAAAGTCCAGTCAATGCTATTTAACAATAGTAAGACTATTATTAGAGACATAGTACATGACAATTTCATGTTCATAGATTTCCATTGATGTTTTACGCATATTGTTATTTAGATGTAGTCATTGTTGTGTAGTAAAAATGTCAAATAGAATGAGGCCGAGTAAATTCAATATAATAACGGACAGTTGCACCAGTTATAAGGAATATCATGAAGAATATTGGTGTCCGGTTCGTAGTAAATTAATTTAATTAAATCAATCTTTAATACAGATTCATCATTAATATAATTGACAATTCATTATATAATGAATTAAAATATGAATATGTATTTGTCGTCGTTCTTGTTTTTGTAGTTGCTTCCTTGAAAAATTGCCTCTCATCGGTGGTCTCCTGATTCCAGTTGGTTTCATCATGATCTTCAACATCATCATCTTCATTCGTGTTATTATACGACTGAACAGAACCGTCAAAGGAAGGCAACTTGATAAGACGGAGAAACGCCAGCGCGTTCGACGTTTCCAGAATGCGGTGTGTATCCTGATCCTGATGGGCCTAACATGGTCTCTAGGTTACCTGAGCATCATCAAACCGGCCAGTGAGGTCGTCCAAGGAATCTTCACCATCCTCAACTCTCTGCAGGGGTACTTCATCTTCATGCTGTACTGCATGCGCCAGCCTCAGGTTCGCAGGACATGGCGCTCACAGTTCAGCTGCTGCTTGTCGAAGTCTTTTGCGGCATCCGGCGGCTTTACTTCAGGCTCTGGCAAAACTAATTCGACGTCCAAGAACAGCTCGGCCAAGCTCAGGGGACAGAGAGGCAACCGAAATGCAGGGCTGATGTCTAACTTCGATTCCAGTGGGTTCCGCCCGGAGACAATAATGCGTTCCCAACCTGAGAGACTGCCTAGAGCCGCCTACCAAAACGATGGTGCTGAGTGGTGATTTGAGAACTATAACGAAACTTGATAAATGTTTTAAAGGCAGATCGTGTTTTGTACGGAACTACACAGAAATAATAACGGTGATTTAAAGACACAAGTAGTAATGGTTTGAAAATATTAACCCATGCAGTCTTTCAACCAATAAAACAATCATGTTTTTCAACTTGCAGTTGACCATATTTGCATAGTAAATTCAGCATTTGTCATGTCTCTTAAATTGCTATTGTTGGAGTGGAGTCGTTGGTTATCAACTCTCCTGCTTATTTATACATCACTTAAATGTAGTCATCAAACAATTCCATTTTGTATCTATATTTCCAGTAAACCTATTTCGACTCATCACGTGGGTTGTAGCATGGGTTGTGATAATGAATTTGAATTTTATTAGTGTAATTTGCCAAAAGTAATTCTGCTTTGTTTATAGTGCCGTACATGGATTGTTTTGACCAACACGTTAACAAAACATTGTGAGGTTGACCATCACTAAGAAGCGCGACACGCATGGATCATGTATTATCTTGCTTGACGTGTGGTACAGACAATTATGTTTAGTTTCTTATCTTTCTGAGCCTATTACCGCCTTTTTTAATTAGTTTTATTTAGATTGTAGGAATAAATGTGGCTGATAAAACGAAATGAATATTCTTACCGTTATTTTAATCTTCTGAGCTGATATCGCGAGTGGAGGACGAAGCTGGAAAGGGAATCATGCAGAGGAAGAATAGTGCGAGTAGCGAGGTGATGACTCAGCTGCATGTATACACACGTGGAGCGCGACTAGCTAGCTAGCGAACGCGAATGAAGAAGGCACACAAGCCTTACAGTTCACTATTGCACTTTCCCGAAATAAACCAGAGGACGTAAATCTGTATTGCGATAGAGTCCTCAAAAGAACGATGTTGATGAAAACTCACTATTAAAGTGAAACCGACAAAATAACGCTTCTTGTAAAGTCAGGACTCTTCCTATAAAAAACGCGTCCGAGTGTCGAAACCGAAAACAGGAGGAGTGAGTAAAATTCGTGTGTGGAGACTTTTCCAAGTGCGCTTAAGGTGTGGTGATTGGCTTATTAAAACAATAAGGTGCGGTCCGATTGGAGTAACTAAAATAACACTCTTGTTGCTGGGTGGTTCCACGGATGAAATTAACTAAGAGAATGTTTAGAATGTTGCAGCTGTAGATTGTTATTGTTATTGAAGCTGGCAGAACGAAAAGTACTAACGTAAGGTATGCTTAAAATGCTGAGTATTTACAATGTTGGTAAACATTTATGACCTTAGAAAAGTTCAAGTCACTACAAGATGATCTCGGTTTGATAGAGTGCCAATATGTTGTATATTTTCCATCCTTTCAAGAGTTCCAGTTTAGAAAAGAATTGTAACGGTCACTGAAAATCGCAAAATTGGTTTCATTGGTGTCAAATGATATGTTATAAGTTAATCATTGACCCATATTTGCATTTCTATAAGATATTTTTAATATTTCCTATTTTTTTCATTGACGTTTTAATGTTACGAATTGTTTTGTATGTGAACGAAGTTTCTTTATAAAATGAGTATTACAATATATATATATATATATATATGTATATATTAACTTGAAATCTGCAGAATTTCTAGGATTTCGCATATTCAGTCGGAATTGATAGTAAAGGGGATATGGAATATTCATCTACTAAAGTTTAGCTAGCACAATCAAATATTACATTAATGGAGAGTTGGGAATTGTAATAAAGTTTTCTGCTACTATCCATTTTTACCCTGTGTATATATCAGATATATTGCTTCTTAGTAGGAGGTAAACCAAACATGAGGATATTGAGAACGGGAGTGTATTTCGAGAAAGATAATTTAATTAATATTTAGAAGCATATTGCTGTGCAATATGTTTAACAAGTGCTGAATATAATATTATGTTATGAAAAAGGGAATAGTCGTTTGGTAATTTAATGTTTAAAATGTTTAACGTGTTTTTGTAACCTGAGGAATTTATGAAATAATAAGATCTGTGATCATTTTTCCTCATTTCATGTTCGTAATGCAGCTGAATACAGGTGTTTTATTGCCGAGCAAGGATTATGTCCATTCAATTTTGTTGAAACATTTTAGTCAAGAGTAATTCTATTAATTACCAACACAATATACAAACAATGATATTTAGAATTTCCTTCTTATTCATAGCTCTTTCATCTGATCACCATTTTATTTATCATTTCGTTGTATTTTATGAAACGGAGAACCTTTATATCGATGTGTACAAGCAAGTTGGTGGTGCGTTGTAGGTTTAAGTTTAGGTTTATGGTTTATTCATTGATATTTTAGTCCTTTACACATTATTTTGTTGAATTGTATAGGAAGGAAGTCCCTTCATTTATTGACCATTAAAAACAACAAAATATACGAAACATCAATAAAATAGAAGAATGATATCAAATAACAACAACATACAAAAGTAATAATGGCCAGGGTCCCAGAGAGCAAGACTGATTGTAGTCGGGACCCTATATACAAGTACATTATAATATAAATATAAGTTTAAATGCACAAAATGATAATGATGATAATAATTATCTAAAAAAATATGAATAATAATGACAATGTTAATAGTGATAATAATAATAATTATAACGAGGATAATAATAAAAGGCCAGTGCCGGTTTTTGAATCTAAACAATCATATTTACCCACGCTAAGCAAATTCATGTATGCAATTTGCCCATACCCCGGTATTAATCCAACGAGTTCAATGTTAGATTTTATAATCCTTTTCTTTGTGCATTGTCGCCCTCATCGGGCGCATGAAAGACTTAACCTGTTAATGACGTAGTCCTACGTCAGCAATGATAATAATATTAATAATTATAATAATAAAATAAATGTATCATTTTTGAGACCCTTTCATGGAGGCAAGACGGGGTATTTTTCTTAATGAAACTAAAACATTTGGGTTTTCAAAGAGAAAGATGCCATTATTATTATTATTATATTCTATCCAAGATGAAAGTGCATAGCAGGGACTTTTAATATAGATAATATTACATTTGGGGTTAAGTTTCAAAAGAATGGTACACAACATGATATTGACGTCTTTTCATTTATGTAAGTTTGATATTCAAGATGATAAATAGCAGATCAATATCCAAGAAATTGTAGTTATATGTTTTTAATTGTAATGCCAGCTATAAGCATAATGTAGCGTTATGCATGTAGGTACGTGCACGTAACGGCCGGATCATCAGAAGTTAGCATTAGTGATACAAGACTAGCATTGCATGTGCTCTTACTCTTTTGTATTTGTCTTTATTTTATATTCTTATAACATCATGTACATTGCTCTTATTGTATCAAAAGCAAGTGATCTTTAATTTTCGCATATCCTTTCGTCTTTTTATATGAATAAAAGCTAATCTTACAATTTCACACGACTGTGCGATCAATTCTTCATTTTTTTTTCATGACAATCCATCCGTATCTTTTATGTTCATCTATATGTACACATGTGTTTAAACGGAAAATAATACTAAACAAGTACTAAACGGAGACAAGTTATCCACAAACGAGCTGTAATGCCAAAATGCCCAATGTCGAAACTGAAATTTCAGGAGTTAATTTGTTAGTTGATTGGTCCCTATTATCATTTAAAAAATGGTTCTAGACAAGATGAATGTGTACTTTCCTCTCTACACCCGGTAATATAATACTAGATGATTGTATGCAGCAATTCATTCCAGGCCAAGAGAATGAATAGTCATGGTTTGAAAACGTGCTTCAAAATTTTCCCGTCACCAGACTCCCTTTGCTTCTAAAATTGGTTCTAACCGTCTACATATTGTGTGCTCCAATCATCAGCTACCTGTAAGAAGGCCGTCACCTGGAGCGTACGCAGGGGGGGGGGGGTTGACCGCCCCATCAATTATTTATTTATTTTTTGCTAGAGGGGGGGGGGGGTTGTCGAGTAAAAAAACAAATGTAATGCTCCTCCCCCCCCCCCCCACTGAGTGAATTTCGGGGGGCCAAGAAGGGAGGGGGGAATTTATTGCTCACTACCCCCCCTCCCCCCACCCCCCCCCCTTGAAAAATTCCTGCGTACGCCACTGCCATTGCCAATATACAAAGTTCTTACGTACAGTTATTTTGCCCACGAAATATGAACATAACATCTTTTGTGTAACTACACATTTATTGACGTTTCTCTGAGCTTTGTTCCAGGGTGATGTCATTAAAAATGTAGCCATTATTTCGTGATTTTTTTTGAAGAAGGATTTCATTCCCTATCATAAATTGTCAGCTGTGGACCGGGGGAAAGGGGGGGGGGGGGAGTTTTTGGCCGACAACAAAGGGGAATGGAAGAAAAAAAGAGAAATATGAAAAAAGAAGAATCATGGTCTAATTAGTTCGTTGTTTTCATGTTTTGGTTTATTTTGCTTGTCAGAGAATTTTTCGGACTTATCACCACCCCCTCTCGACAGAGAATCGTCGATCCGCCACTGAGTGTGTATTTCACAATGATCATTTGAAGGTTTGTTTGACAATAAATATAACATAGATTTGGAAATAGAAACATAGTATCATTTATTGAAATACATTGAACTACATGACAGTTTTAGAACGACATGCTCACGAAAGAGAAGAAAAAGTATCTTCTCTAGTGACTTTTTAATTTGAGTAAACATTAGATGGTGTTGACTCTTTCGGATCATAGCTGTCCCTACTGCGACTATTCTTACTACATCGATTAATACTATAGGTAAGTCTTATTCTATAGCGAATATACGACATCAAGTTTTGGTGAATAAATAATGTTTGAAATTACTGTAATCCGATAAGAAGGGAGTTTTTTTGTAATGAATAATGCATGTAGTTCGATTGTAATATTCTTACAACTTGCTTTCGACGACAACATTAGGGATTCCTAACGGGTAAGGTATACGCAGCAATCATTTTAAGAAGGATTTATAGATTAAAAAATCATAATTTCTATCACTCATCGGAACCTTTTTTGTAATGAAAACTCATGGGTCATCTATTTCGTCAAATGTGTTATCTATGGCATTCACGTTCTAACCTTTGGCATGCAGTATTACACTAGACATGAATTGTATGCCCTTATGAACATACACATCCTTAAAGTTTATAAAATGTCTTACTAATGTGTTTGTAATTTGTAAATTGTAAGCACTTAGCTGCATGTTTGATGAGTTTAATGACAATAAAGAAATTCATACATGTATGTTCCACGTTTGCTGAAAGGCCTGCTTTGCGGTTCGAGGTTTAGTAAAGGGCTATAGCCTATGGTCAGTGTAAAGTTTATTGAGTCCAGATTTGAATTAAGAAATTAACTTTGACAGAGAGCAGTGTTTATGGCCATTTATTTTCCAATACATGAACAGGTAGCAGGTAGAAGACGAAGTGAATTATTATTGTGTAACAGTGACACCATCTCTTTTCCTTCATAGAAAAACGATATTTGTAAATCTTGAATTCGATTCATACCAGGCACGTTGTTACAACTACAGTACCAAGTGGGTCTTGATAACCAACAGAAATAAACAAAAATAGTCTTACAAAAAAATCGATACCAGATGAAATAAAGGAACAGGTTCTTCAAAAAAAAAATTAATTTTAAAAATGGTTTCTTTCCAAGCAATAGGTTTGTCTTCATTTATCTTCAAGATCCTACGGGATTTGCACAAGATTCAGGATGGTTGGGTCAGCGACAAGGAATCTTTTAATGATACTGTTCAGTTTGATGACGGCATGCGGTAAGTCTTTCGTTGCCAATTAAATAAATGACTTGATTTAATTTGAGATGAGTTTATGCTATTTGTATTATGTGTAGGCATATATATATATATATTTTAAAGGACATTTACGAATCGTCCATCTGATCCAAGTATTGTAATTGCATGGGATAGTTCAATAATTTACATTGTATGTCTGGAAAATATAAAAGCGATTGCAACTACTTTCGAAAAATCAACTCAAGGGCAATTTCAATCCCCTTTATACATAGAGAGGAAGAAAAAAATTCTCTCCCTCTCTTTCTTTCTCTCTCTCTCTCTCTCTCTCCCTCTCTCTCTCTCTCTCTCTCTTCTCTCTCTCTCTCTCCATTTATGATTGGAGTTTTATTTAATAACCACTATGCTGGTAAAGTACTTGAATACAATAAAATACCGCAGATAGAGTTGTAATTATATATATATATATATATATATTTTTTTTTATTATCTTATCACTCGACACAGTGTTACGAAGGAACATACACTATTATAGAAAATGCATGATTATGTTGAAAATAGGGGGAAAATTAAATAATCGATGCACATTTTTCTCGGAAAGATACACATGATACATTTGCAATATAGCAATGACAACAAATATATTCTAAGATGAAATACAGTGGTATGGAAATGAAGTGTTAACTATCATTCGGCGCTGAATAGTATAAAGAAAACAAAATCAATTTGTGAAGAAGTCTACAATGTCAATAATATAAAGCTCTCACCTTTATCATGACAGGAATGAGAGTTCATCTAAATATTGATTATATCAGGGTTCGCTCTTAAGGGCGAGAGACTTTAAGAAACGTGTTGAAAAGAATAGTTATTTGACTTGAAACATATTTATAATATCAATAGTTTTCTAAATCAGCCTTGGTTTGCTTAGTTTATATGAAATCCCTTTGCTATTCTTGTTCTTTATTTCTTAAATCTGTACAGCTTGTGTAACTATCAAATTTGATTGTC